TGGGAGACTTGCTTTTGGCTGTCTTTGCTTAGTTCACTAGAAAAATGTCAGCTTGAGATGAGCTATCAGAACAGGGTTTTGGGGCAAAACATCCCCATTCTCTCAGATCACTTGCTTTCTGACAATGAAGTATATGTTATAGATTCAATTCCCGTCTCTGTTCTATTGACTTCCTATGACAGGCAGCCCAACTCGGCATTTTCCAGCTAGATTCTGACATAATATTTGCTGAGAAAATTAAGACCTAAACCATTTATTTTCTGGACTAGCATGCCACTCTGATTTTAAATTTCAGTGAATAAGGCCCAGCAAGAACAAACACCCAACTGAAGACTTAGTAGTTTTACTTCTAAGTACCGGTGAACACAGTAATGAATTCTCCAATATCCTCTTTTTTTTTGCTACATGATTTGTTTCTAAACCATTGGTTCTCAAATGTGAACTGGCATAGAGGCCATATGTAGGATTTACTTATCTTACATCAATATCCAGGTCCTACCCAGCACCAAATCAATCAGTCTAGAGATGGGTTAGGTCTAAAGTTCTCCAGGTGGCTTCAATGTGCAACTGAACATTAGTATTCAGTACTATGTAAATGAGGGCTGAGATGGATGTGTGGATGGATGTGTGGAACAGAACATGGATGTGTGGAACAGAAACCTACAGATCCCACAATGCCTTGCATGTTCCCACTGTTCTCTTTTCCTGTGGAACTGAAGGGATGGTCTGGTCAAGGTCATATAGGTCAGAAGGTCCATGGAGAAAAGCCAAAGTGCAGGTGGCTCTCATGCAGTACTCTCTCTGTCCATCTCTCCTAAAACCCCCATCTATGACTTTGCTAACAGACTGACTTTTTGAGGTTGATGCAGATGATAGTGCAAACTGGCTTAAGAGATCCCTTTCCAACAATGAAATAACCTCATACCTACTAGGATGGCTATTATTATTTAAAAAAAAAAAAAAAAACAGGAAATAACACAGCTGATGAGACTGGAGAAATTGGTGTATTGTGCATGACTGGTAAGAATGGTACAGCCATTGTGGAAAACAGTATGGGTGCCTCAAAAGATTATACTTAGAATTAATTACATGTGGATTACCGTGGGAATTACCGTAGGATTTCATTTCTAGGTATAAGCCAAACAAGCTGAAAGCAGGGACTTGGGCAGATACTTGAAATTCATTTATACCAGCGTTATTCATGATAGCCAAAAGGTTGAAGCAGTGGCTTCCCTGATGGCCTAAGAGTTGAGTCTCAGCACTATCACCACTACGGCCAGAGTTCTATCCCAGGCCAGGGAGCTGACCCACATGGCGCATCAGACCTCTCCTGGCTAGCCCGCTGCTCCCCTCAGCAGTGTATTTCGGTGGATCCGCCTGTTCTGCTCCCGGCTGTCTTTGGCGACTCTCTCACCCCCTGCGCCTCTGGCCTACATCCTATACACACACACACACACAAATACAAAAGGTAGAAGCAACCCCAGTGCCCATGGACAGATGAATGGGTAACCAAAATGTGATGTACACAGACAGTGGAATATTCGTCAAAGGAAGGACATCCTGATATCGTGTATAACATGGTTGTATCAAGAAGATATATTAACTTTTATAAAAAGATTTTTACTTATTTATGCATACAAGAAGTGGGGTGTAGCCTGGAGGCGCAGGGAGGGGCGGTGAGAGGATTCACCAGACAGAGTGGGGAGCAGAACAGGCAGATCTACTGAAATACACTGCTGAGGGGAGTAGCAAGCAAGACAGGAGAGGTCTGCTGCACCTTGTGGGTCAGCTCCCTGTGGAGCTATCCACGTGGGTTCTATCCCCTGGGGGATAGACTGCAGTGACTGGCGATAGCTTGATGATGCTGAGACTTTAACCCTTGTGCCAGCAGAGGCCCAAGACATGTTAACTCTTAAGATACAAGAGGTTACATATTGTATAATTCTATTATACAAAATGTCTACAATAGGTAAATTGTAGAGATAGAAAGGAGATTGATGGTTACTAGGTGCAAGGAGGAGAGAAAAATGAGGAGCAGGTTCCCATGGAAATGGGAAGCAGTCCTACAATGGTTATGGGTCTCCTTTTGCCATGATGGGAAGGTTCTGGAATTAGAGGTAGTAGTTGCACAACTGTGCAGCATCACCTAACAGTTTGCTCCAAATAGTTAATTCCACTTTAAGTTTATTTCAACTCAATAAAGAATCTTTTCCAAAAAAGCAATTTATACTTTCTAGGAAAATCCAAATATAAAAGCCAAAAAAAGAAAATTTCTTCTGCTGTTCATCCAATCCCCTACAAATAAAACTTCCATTAGCTGTTTAATGAAAGTAGCCTTCTACACTTTTAAAAGTTTTATAACATACAAAGAGATACTTATGTTTCTTTTTCCACCAAATGTTCACTGAGCACAAGTATTCATGGTCAGGCAAAGTTGTGGGTCCATAAACCAAACAAGTTAATAAAACAGACTAATGGGACTAACATCTGACAGGAAGAGCTGGTCCGCAGGCCTGGGAATGAATATGAATTTCAGACTGTGATAAATGCTAGGAAAAAAAGAAAATGATTAGAGAGTATATGGTTTGGTGAGAGCCAGGGTGGCTAAGAGAGCCGAGCTACAGAGGTGAAGGTCTATGGAAAGAGGATTCCAGGGAAAGGAATAACCCAATATTTTTTTAATGGATTTTTGTAAAGATTTATCATTTTTATTTATTTATGCATACAAGAACTGGGGTGGGGGTCAGAGGTGTGTGTGTGTGTGTGTGGCGGGGGTGAGAAGTCACCAAAGACAGACAGAACAGGCAGACAGACTGAAATCCACTGCTGAGGGGAGCAGTGGCAGAGACAGGAGAGGTCTGCCTCACCAAGTGGGTCAGCTCCCTGGCTGGGGATCCAACTTGCGCTCCAGTAGCTGCTTCATTGTGCTGAGAGTAGACTGAACCCGTTTGTGCCACCAGGAAGGCCCCTGAGGGCAATTACTTAATATCAACTTTAAAGTGGGACAAGTAAGAAAGATTCAGTTGAGTTTTCTGTGAACTATAATAAAAGGCTGTAACCAGAATTTTGTATTAGGAAATATATCAGGCCTCCCTGATGGCCTGGAGTTAAGTTTCAGCGCTGTCACCATTGCAGTCTGAGCTCGATCCCTGGCCAGGGAGCTGACCCACATGGCACAGCAGACCTCTCCTGTCTTCCCCACTGCTCCCCTCAGCAGTGTATTTCAGCGGATCCACCTGTTCTGCTCCCCATTCTGTCTCTGGTGAATCCTCTCACCCCCTGCACCTCTGGCCTACACCCTAGTTCTATGCGAAAATAAATAAAATCTTAAAAAAAAAAAAAAGGAAATGCATCATCTTTGGTGAAAAAAGAATCAGTGTTGGAAAGAGTTCAGAGAGCATGGAGTGCAGAGCTGATGAGAAAAATTAAAGCCTGGCTGTTGATAATGAAAGTCTCTGATTTCTTTACATTTATAGTGCTCCATTTCCCTAGTGTTAATGGGTTACACGGGGGGGGGGGGTGGGGGGGTGGGGAAGGTATTCATAAAATCCGCTCATTGAATACTGAACAATTTCAAAACACTTTCATGTAGGCTTTGTTTTAAAAAGCACCCTCATTTTTTAACCTGCCTCACTAGGCTGAGTTGTCTTTTATATTTGAGATACACTTAAAATTGAAATTCTTATCTAGATCTAGATTTCAGCCGGAACACGAGGTTAGGAACCCTCCATGCCCTGCACGCGCGCCTTCGCGCTGTCATTTCTGTTCATGGCACTGTCTAGCCTCCTGGCACAAAAGCATAAACAATACCCATTTTTCACTCTCTCGGGCTCCGCAAGGGTGAACTACGGGAAGAAGCACCCGGAGCAACGGTGTTTCCCTCCTTCCTGCGATCGGGCGCTCAGTATCTATCGTTTGCTTTTTTCTCTTCGGCGCTTATCTGGTCGCAGCCCGCGAGCACCAGCCGCAGCCCGGAGAATCCCGGGACCCTGGGCCGCCGGGGAGGCCACGTCACCCGACCGCGCGGCCGAGGAGGGCGACGGAGGCGCCACGGCGAGCCGGGACCGCGCGGCGGGGTCTGGGCGCGGGCGGGGAGCGGCCGACGGAGCGAGTCACTCCCGCTTTCCAGCCGACACCCCCTCTGCGGGCAGCGCCTGGGCCCGGGCGCTTGACGAGCCCCGGGCAGCCCCGCCGCGCGGCCCCCCGGCTCCGGGGTCCCCTCCGGGCGCCCGGGCGGGGAGACGCAGCGCGGCCGCGGCGCGGGGCCGGCTCGGCGGGGGAGGCGGCGGCGTCGCGAGCCCGGGGCGGAGAAGCGGCGGCAGGGGGCGGGGGGCGGCGCTCCCCGGGGCCGAGAGGACGCTTTCCTCGGGCAGGGGCGCCGGGGGCTCCCGCGCCCCCCGCGCCCCCAAGAGCGGGGCGGAGGCTCCCGCGGGCCAGGCTCGACCCCGCCGCGGGCGCCCCGACCCGCCGGTGACAGGTGGGGCCGCCGGGCCCGCCCGGCCTCCGCCTCCCCGCGCTGCCTGCCGGGAGCGGGAGCCGCTTCCGGCCGGCCCGGCCCCGAACTCCGACTCCCATCGGCCCCCGGGCAGCCGCAGCGGGGTCGCGCGGGCGCTGCCGGGACTCGTAGTTCCCGCTGCGGCGGCGCCTCGTAGCCGGAAACGCGCAAGGACGGGGCTGAGAACTACCGGGCGAAGGTACGGGTGGCGGCGGGGGTCAACCCACGCCGGCGCGGGGCGGGCGGAGAGGCGGGCGGAGGTGGTTGGGCCGGTGGGAGGAGAGCCGCTCGCACACACGAGGAGGCTTGGGCCGCCGCCGCCACCGTCGTCGCGGGCGCGGAGTCGGAACTGGGGCGGCCGCCGCGACGCCGCCGGGGACCGTGTCGCTCGCCCCGGCCCTCGGCCTCGCCGCTCCCGGCCGCGCGGCCTGCTCCTCCCCGGCGCGTCGCCCCCGCCTCCCTTCCCGCCCTCTCGGCTCCGCTCCTCGCCGCGCTCGGCCCGGCCATGGATCCCGGCAGCGGCGGCGGCGGCGGGAGCAGCGGCGGCAGCAGCAGCAGCGACTCGGCGCCCGACTGCTGGGACCAGGCGGACATGGACGCCCCCGGGCCGGGCCCGTGCGGCGGCGCCGGCGGCTCCCTGGCGGCGGCGGCGGCCGAGGCCCCGCGGGAGCCCCTCAGCGCGGCCTTCAGCCGGCAGCTCAACGTCAACGCCAAGCCCTTCGTGCCCAACGTCCACGCCGCCGAGTTCGTGCCGTCCTTCCTGCGCGGCCCGGCCCCGCCGCCGCCCCCCGCCGCGGGCGCCGCCGCCGCCCTCCCCGGAGCCGGCGGCGGCGCGGGGGGCCCCCAGGGTAAGGGCGGGCGGCGGGGCTGGGCCCCGGGCGGGGGCGGGCGCGCGCGGGCGGGCGGGCGGGCGGGCGGGGGCGCCCCGGCACGTGGACGCTGACAGCCGCGGGCGCCGGCGGCTGGGGGGCGCGGCGGGGCCCGGCTGCCCGCGGGGTGGGCGGGCGGGGCGGGGCGGGCCTGGGCGTCCCGGGACCGGGGGCAGCGCCGCGAGGCCCGGGGGGACCGCGGGGCCGGGCCCGGGCCCGGGCGGGCGTTGGGGGCGGGCGTCGCGGCGGGCGGCTGGAGCCTCGCGCGCCTCGGGCCGGCGGGAGCGCCGCGCCCCCGGTTCCCGCGGCCGTCACTGCGCGAGCGGCCGCGCCGCCGAGGCCTCCCAGGATGCACCGCAGCCGGCCCGGGCCGGGCCGGGCGTGCGGGGAGCGGCGCGGGCCGGGCCCCTTTGTCGCGGACACGTGCGCGCTTCTCTGCGTCAAAATCGCCGCGTCGTGCGGGGGCCGGGCCGACGCGCCGCCGGGCGCGGGCGCTGCTGTGCTGTGGCGCGGCCGCCGCTGCTGGCGGGACTCCAGGGTCAGGTCAGGCCTCGGACTCCGCGTGGGGCCGGGCGCGGCGCGAGCGGCAGGATGCGCTCAGGTGCGGCTCTCGCGGGCGTCCCCCCCGCCCCCCGGCGCTGCGGGCCCCGGGGACTGTCAGGACCGGCCTGGGAGGCGGGGGCCGCCCTTAGCCGGAGCCCGAGGGGCTCCTCGTGAGCGCAGGCGGGTTCCCTCTGCTTTGTGGTGTTTCCTAGATGCGTGAACATCATAAAAATGCTCTAGAGGGTTAGTTTCTTCAGAAACTTTTGCTAGTTTGCTCTTTAGAGGCAATAAGAGTTTGGAGGAAATACTTTGCACGCGCAGTGTGGACTAGGCTGTTTTGTTGACCGTGGTATTGCTGTTCCTTGTGTGGTCAGTTTTCCTGGGAATAGGCAGCTTGGCTTGTGCGTCTTTGCTCAGATCAAACTCTTGTGGCTACCAGGACTGGCTCACTCATGGGATGCGAGCACTGCCCGTTTCCCTGTGCCCAGCCATTTTCCTTTTTGGCCCCCCCTCCCCCTGGAGCCTCCAGCACCACTCTGGCTGGAAGTGGGACTCCCTGTCCCCCATCTAGACATCAACCAGAAGTCATCAAGGGACACCCACCCGGAGAGCAGCGGTGGGGATGGTGCTCTTTGATGTGTCACTAGGCACTACCTCTTAGGCTGGAGAAAAGGCTTTTCTGTTCCTGATATTCGCTAGTTTGCAGTTTGCTCAGTTTTTTTTCTGTCACATTACTAGAATCTGGAAATGTAAAAATGTTTAGGGAAGTGCTTGTGCATAACAACAGGCCCTATAGTTTTTTTCTTTTTTTAATCAGAAACTTATTTTGGTCTTACTGACTTTACCAGCTGCTTTTACAAAGTGCCAGGTAATGTTTGAAAATTGATAACCTTTTGGACCATGTCCGTTTAGAAAAGAATGAGTTTTCTAAATCGAATTCCTCTTCATAACTATTGGATTGCCTGTTCTAGCCCATGCAGGTTCATCAAATACTACCACCAGAGCAGAGAACTATTCTTAGAAGAAGCAGGGGAATACTGGAAATAGCCCCCTAGGTTGAAATTTATAAAGGGGGAGCCATAAATTTTTTTTTCTATAGTGAGGAAATAAGATAATAGGGCTGTTTTCATTTAATGTTAAGCCACAATTCAAATGTGTGATGGGTGTTTTTAAACTTAAAATGTGTGGTAGGCAGCTCTTGGAGACATCTGGAAATACTAGAATAACTTTATTTTTTTTTTTTATTTTTTTTTTTTAAATTTTTTTTTTTTTATAGAGGCATGCTTTATTTATTTGTTTGCTGGTTTGTTTGTTTGTTTTGTTTATACATGCACTGGGTACAGTCAGAAGCGCGGGAGGGTGAGAGAATTCACCAGAGCCAGAGCGGGGAGCAGAGCAGGCAGAAGGACCGAAGTACACTGCTGAGGGGAGCAGCGGGCGGCAGGAGAGGTCTGCTCGCCATGTGGGACCCTCCTCCGGTGGCCGGGGAGCAGCCGGGGATCGAACCGGCGCCGCAGAAGCCGCGGGCAGCTTCACAACCCAGCGCTCAACCGCTGCGCCACCGGGGAGGCCCTAGAATAACTTTTTAAAATGTGTCCGTCTAGAATGAATATCTGCCATTTATCCTGGCAGCAGACTAGTTTGTTTTCTGTCTGTCTGTCTCTCTCCTCTCCCTCTTCCTTTTTATTCCAGTGATGACTTGAGCAACCCGTACGGGAAAAGGTTTTTGTGCAGTGTTCACCCTCATTGGAAGGCTGCTGTTTCCAGTCATCCTAAGTGAGAACTGGCATTCAAAGTTGACCTTAGATCTTTTTGAAAATTTAACACAGGTTTCCAAAGAAATCATTACATAAAACCCATTTAACTGTAATTAAGTATAATTCATTTAAGTGCATTTCCCTACATAGCCAGATAAATTGCCTCAGTGATGCTCTGTAAAGTAGATGTCCTGAAATGCAGACTAGACTTCTGTGTACTAGAATAAACATTTTCTGCTATGCGGTGTGATTATTTTAAGTTCCAGTTTGCACCTATTCAGTCTTTTTTATTGTTAAATGAAAGACCAACTTAGTGTTAATCAAGGGTATATAGTGTCTTAGTCTATTTGAGCTACTATAACAAAAAGCCACCAACTGGGGTCTTAAAAACAACAGAAATTTACAGCTTCAGTTCTGGAGGCTGGAAGTCTTAAGATCTGGGTGCCAGGAGATCTTCCTTAGCACCCTTTTCTATGTAGCAGCTCCAAGCTGAAGGGACAAGGGACCACTGTGGGACTTTTTTTTATACAAGTACTAATCCCATGGGGGTGGAAGCGCCTCCATCCTCAAGACCTGATTATTTCCCAAAGTTCCCATCTAACCCTGTTACAGTGGATAGTAGGATTTCAGCATGTGGAATGGTGGGGGGGTGGGGGGGAGTCATTCAGACAGGGACCTGAAGAACAGCTAAAACTTCTAAATTGTTTAGTATTCTTTCTACTGTGCTGCCCTCCATGCCTCTCAAAACTCTGCCATTAAAAAGTGAGTAAATTGGGCCTCCCCTGGTGGCGCAGGCAATTGAACGCTGCGCTGTGAAGCTGTCCGCAACCTCTGCAGCGCCAGTTTGATCCTGGTTGACCGGCGAGGGTCCCACGTGGAGCAGCAGACCTCTCCTGTCTCACCCGCTGCTCCCCTCAGTAGTGTATTTCGTCAGTCTGCCTGTTCTGCTCCCCGCTGTCTCTGGTGAATCCTCTCACCCTCCCGCCCATCTGGCCTGTACCCCAGTTCTTATATATATAAATAAATAAATAAATGAATAAATAAATAAATAAATAAATAAATCTTTTTAAAAAAAGTAAATTAAAATCGGCAGTCCTCATTACCTCTTTAGAGGAGGGATTAACTTCCAAATATAGCAAATTTCATTGTGGAACTTGAATTTTAAAGGGAAATGTTCTTTTTTGTAGCATTTGGATTTTGCTGAGTGCCTTTTTGTGGGAAGAAGAAACTTCACTTTAATGATTGAGATACAATTCACAAAGCATAAAATTTACTTTTTAAGAGTGTACTGGCCAGTGCCTTTTAGTATATTTACAAGGTTACACGTATGTTAGGGTTCCATTAGTGGGGTCCAAGCTTGGGTCCCTCTGAGAATGAATTTAGCATTCTCCGAAATGTGGTACATTTATTAAGGAGGAACACACCTGCACACACACAGCAGTCTTAAAGAGAAGAGCTGCATTTTGCCAGTGCAAGGGCTGCCCTTATATATCACTCTTTGATGGAATTGCTTTTTGTGGAATCTGTCACTTTGGGGTTGGGTTGGTTTTCTGTTACAACTGATAATCTTTTCTGCCCCTACCTGTGGTTTTTGACCTTGTGCAGACTTCCATCCTAAACTTTCTACTCTAAGCTTCCATCACCACCTTTACCATTTGGTGGGTGCTTTTTCATCATTGGACATTCTCAAAGGTTACCTCTTCAAGGCCAATGAGAGCAGAGAAGACCCAAAGTTAAAGTAATTATTGTTTTGTCCTAAGGGCTCTCATACTTTACAATTATGGTAATCTAACTATAGATTATAGCTAGACAAGATAGATGAGAGATAAGGTTCTTGATTTGAGATTTTTCTTTTCCTAAAGAAATAATATTAAAGAATAATTCTAATATAAAGGATTTGTCAGACTTTAATGGGACAGTAATGGAAGTAGCAGGCAGATATCAGTCAAAAGTTCCTGAGTGTTATATCTTTTCCTACCTAATTTCCTACTTGGTTATTTCTTTTCCTACCTAGGTTTACTGGTTATTAGATTTCAAATCTTGTTTCATGGTTTTCATCCTTGAATGACTTAGGCATGCAGAAGTGGGGAACAGACGAAGACGTCAGCTAATACTGTGCCGTGTGAGGAGCTACTGAACCTGTTAGAAATTTTGGTTGGGAAGAAACCTTTTTAGCAGGTTTATTTGGTGCATTTAGTAGATAATTGGTTTTCTTTTTCACTTTTTCTGGAATTGTGCTGCATGAAAAGACATTAAAATTTGTTAGGGCGAGTTAGAGAAAATTTTAAGCCCTTAGTTTACTTTTGCCTGGTCGGGAAGGAAATATATTTAAGTGTTGAAATAGTATTGTCTTTCTGGTTGGAGAGAAGGAAATGAAAGAGATCTGATAACCTCTCGGAGTAATTTGGCTGTGTTAGAATGGAGTTTTTTTTTTGTTTGTTTGTTTGTTTTTTGTTTTGATATGTGACTCTGGTTTTACTAAGTATGGGTAGTAATGAATAAACATTTCCCTCCTTACAGAGCCACAGGATGCTATGCTAAGTAGGCACTTGCAGTGGCTCCCCTAAGATGAGTAAATGGTGGGCCTCAAGGCACCTTGAAGGGGTCAGATCCCCAGTTTTCTCTAAAGGAAGATACAACATAAGAATGCCCTGCGAGGGGTGCAGCCTGTGGATGGCTCTCACAGCTGAGGAGAGGAGGTTTTCCTCAGTTCCCTTATGGAAACACTGCCCTCTTCTCACCGTGCTCATCAACTAAAGACGCCTCTCTCTTCTGCAGGGCTCTCTGTGAATACCTTCTTTCACACTGATATAATTCACATACAAAATTCATCTTCTTGTGTGTGTTTGTATTTTTTTAAAAAGATTAATTTTTATTTATTTATGCATACAAGAACTGCGGTGTAGGCCGGGGGGGGGGGTGTGGAGAAGATCCACCAGAGCTGTGTCTCTGTATTTTAAGTTAGGAATTGTTAGGAATTTGCCTTTGCCATCATACAGTACCAGTTATTTTTCTACACTCCTCTCTTTCATATCAAACAGCAGTGAGAAAGAAGACAAACCTTGAAATCTGACCACAGCTATGAGGCATCCAGGACGGGAGGGGGAGTATGAAGGGGTGAAAATGGTGGAGGAAAGAGCACAGGGGAAAACGTTGATGGACCATGGGTGCTTTGGTGGTGGGAGAACTACAGTGACAAGACCTGAGGGGAGAAATTCTATCAATAGATTGTCCAAAAATTAGCAACCATGTAAGAAAAAGGTACATTTAAAAAATTCAACAAACAAAACCAAAAAACAGCAGTGAGTTTGGCTACTGTAACTCTAGCTAGTTATATATTATGCCTTTGCATTATAATTTCATCTTTCTACTCGTAGTTCTTAAAAATCTCTGGGAAGCAAGATATTTTGGTTGTTGAAGTCTTCAGTTTCTTTTTTCAGCTGCCAGTTGTTGATGCACAGCAAAATTGCTTGAAGGTTTTGTCCTTGTTTTCAGTAGCTTTTTAACAAAGCATTACTGAGCTATTGATATTTCCCCCCCAAAAATAATTTTGTTCTAAGGGAATTTAGTTGATCTCATACTCCACGTTCAACCAGTTCCCTATACTTTTCCAGTAGGTGAAACCAGTTCATCTACTTTCTAGGTAAGAGAAACACTTAGTAAGGATTTTTTTTTTAGTCCATTTCACTAGCCTAGCAAAGAGAGGTGACACGCCACATTCCAGCCTGGCGATTATGTGTCTCTTTACTTGAAACACAGAAGTGTGTGCCTCAAAAGGCCATGAGGTGCTTTCCTGGGGCTCTTTCGATCGCATTTGGTTGCCGTACACCAAATAGCCATCTGCTTTGGGTTTTTTATTTCAGTTGCAGTAGATGTTTTTCTGTTGTTATTTTCTGTTTGTTTTTCTGTTATTTTTATGTAATTGGGGCTGCCTGGATTGTCTTTGGTATTTGAGCTATAAAATCGTAAATAAGATGGTCTTTTAAAAACATGTTTGGAAAAAAACTGGAATTTTAGCTGCTCTGGATGTCTAAGATGTGTGGTATTGCTTTAGTGACTGAGTAACCATGTTCTTAGAATGTTAGGACTAGAAATTCCCCCCCCCAGCTAGAGAATGTGTAGTATGTCCCTCAAGCTTGACTTTAACATCTCTTGGATATTGTTTTTTTTTTTTTTTGGAATATTGTTTTTCTAACCCTTTTAGAAAGTTGGCACATAGAAAATTGTTTTTGTTCTCTCTTGAACCTAATGGAAATTTAGTAAGTGTGGAAGTAAGGGCTAGGAGTGATGGCTAAAGGGAAATGATAAAACTACAAGGAACTAATGACTTATGAAAAAAATCAAAAGGAAACTGCTGATCCAGTGAAAATCAATTATATATTTACTCTAAGAGTATAGTGTGCCAACTGTGGAGGCTGCAAGAGTAGAGAAAAGACTTCTCCAGATTTCAGAAAACCACAGTTATTTTGGAAGTCTGAAATACCCTCAGGGGTAAGAAATGAGGTACGTGTGTGGGTTCCTATAATACAGAGATGGTTTCATGTCCTAGAAGAATTAAGAAGGGAGACCCTAGCACTTCAGGGTCCTGGTGAATTTGTATATACTGCGATGAGGAGAATTGCAAGTTGCTAGAACTCCATCTGCTATATAGCCACGAGCCATTTCAATTAGTTAAAATAAAATTTAAAATTCAGTCCCTTGGCCATAGTAGCCACATATTAATTGCTTAATAGCACATGTGGCTAATGACTGTCTTATCCCAGCACAGATACAGGCCATTTCCATGGCTGCAGAAACTAGTATTAAAAGGGGTTAAGTCTCAGCACTATGACGCTATTGGCAGCCACTGCAGCACGAGTTCTATCCCTGGCCAGGGAGCTGACCCACATGGTGCAGCAGACCCCTCCTGTCTCTCCTGCTGCTCCCCTCAGCAGTGTGTTTCTGCCTGTTCCGCTCTCCACTCTGTCTCTGGAGAATCCTCTCACTTCCCTGCACCTCTGGCCTACACCCCGCTCTCGTATGCATAAATAAATAAACCTTTAAAAAAAAGAAAACAAAGAACTTTGTCACATTTCTTACCTCCATGTATGTAATAGAGACACTTGTGACTTCTGTGACAGCGCTTTAAGTTATTTCTGCTTTTTTTCTTCAAGGAACACTGGGCATTTATTTGTTCTTAGTAAAGCTTACTCATTAGAGTGGTCGTCTAGACCGTTGTCTTTTCCTTTCTTCCTTTGCTGTAAGATGTTGCCTCCATTATCTTTGTACTTAAGTCTCTCTAGCACTGCTTATTTGTCCTGATGGCCAGTCCCCTTGAGTGGTGACCTTGACCTCTCTGCATGTCGTGTTTTTAAATGAGTTTTACAGGTTATGAATTCATTATTCCTTATTACTTGCTGTGTAGGATTCATGTGACTTCAGCTTGGTTGATGTGTTTTTACGGAGATTGTTTGCATCAAGGGCACTTTCATATTGTATCATTTAGGCTTATCAGGTATAAAAAATAAGACGTGTCTGGGTCTCAGTATGTTTTTTTCATACATCTCTTCCAGTGATGTCATAAGTAGATTTGCAGTGTGAGCACGGTGGAAAATGGATTGTCGCTTGAGTTTGGAATTCCTGTGTAGGACAAACCGGAATCATTGTAATCGCCTTTGTTGTAAGGGCCTATATACATATCAGGGACTTTATACAAACATTCTTTTTTTATTGGTATTAAATATAATTAATTAAGGATCTTGATGATCCGTGATTGCAGAATCATAGCTCTCTTTAGACTAGAGTTACCAAGAGAGAATTAGAAGCACTGGGCATTTGTTCTTACTAAGTCTTACTAGCTAGATCTGTGCTGGGCTGCTGATTACTTTCACAGTATCTATGAAGGATATGTGTGTGAAGCACATTAAGAGAATAAAGATACTTTTCTGAATACATTTCAGTTACTTAAATTTTTTAAAATTGGCTGTTTGATTGGTAGTTTTTTTTAAGTTGGTTAAACAGATTTCTAATTTGAAAGCCCGAGTTACTTTCTATTGCCTGAATTATTGAGGTTTTGTTATGTTGCTGAACTTGTGTTTCTACTGTATTTTAAAAGATAAGTAAAATAGATGTTGGGCCTCCCCTGGTGGCGCAGCGGTTGAGCGCTGGGCTGCGAGGCTGCCTGCAGCCTCTGCAGCGCCGGTTCGTTCCCAGGCCGCCGGCGAGGGTCCCACCAAAAAAAAAAAAAAAAGTAAAATTGATGTCTAGGTCTCAGTTTTTAATGGAATTTACTTTTATTAAACAGCACCTGGGGAAGCGTCTCAAGAGGAACAGTCATTGTTGTGTGAAGGTAATTTGCCATGTTATGACTCTTTGAATATCTAAATGAAAACTCTAAGTCTATAATGTGTAAACCTAGGGGGTGTGTGAAGGATAACTTGTTTATAAGTGTGTACTGTATCTCAATTTCTTGTCTAGGTTCCCATTCGGCTGTTAGCATGGAACTTTCAGAGCCTGTTGGTAAGAAAATTTCTGACTATATTAATAGAGTAATATGAAACTCAAGATTTAAGATGCCATTGTAAGTGTTATGATTGTGGTAATGCCTATGTTACAAACTAACAGAGTCCTTGCAATTAGGATTTAGAAAGCAGAACTGATTGGACATCAATATTACCAAGATAAATTTAGCATCTATAAAAGAATTGAATGGAGAAATGCTGATGTCAGTTTAAACGGTTGTACTTGTTCCATTACCTTGTGAAAAATTTCCTTCCTTTTTGTAACTTTATTACTCTAAAGCAACTCCTAGTTCCATAGTGATTAATAAAGTTGTTGCCAAAGTTTTATATTTAATTTGTGAAGAAAAAGAAAAGATCTCAATACTTTGATACTTTCCTGTATTTTGATTTTAAACTTTCCCTTTTTACCTCTGTCAGGACATCTTGACCCTGGAATAACTAGGCTGTTAGCAATATTTGATCTCCTGTTCACATTCTGTTTGTCCTGATGGAAATGAAGTTCTGTTAAAATAGCAATCTCACGTAGTCTCTGGGTCAACTCTGAGGTCAGCTGGAAAGCTGCACTATCATCCATTTCTGTTGTGAAAAAAAATTTTTTCTTAAATGTCACTAGATGTTAGGAAATGGAAGACCATCTGCAAAGTTCCATTTGTTGTTTGAAAGGAGAATGTGTTTTAAATACAGATTATAAATCTTTTTCAAAATAATATAAATTAAAATGTCTTATCTCAGTAGAAAATGGAGAGACAGAAATGTCTCCAGAAGAATCATGGGAGCACAAAGAAGAAATCAGTGAAGCAGAGCCTGGGGGCGGCTCCTTGGGAGACGGAAGGCCTCCAGAAGAAGGTGCCCAGGAAATGATGGAGGAGGAGGAAGAAATACCAAAACCTAAATCTGTGGTTGCACCACCAGGTGCTCCTAAAAAAGAGCATGTAAATGTAGTGTTCATCGGGCATGTAGGTAAGTTGTACTCTTAGCACTGATATGAAATCACCAAAGTTGTGTGGTTCATCAAACACAGAACATCTTGTGTAGCTACTGGGAGATGTTTAGTGAAATTGACCTGAGTTCATCTAAAATGGCTTGACTTTTAACTTGCTTGATATTTTTAGCTGTCAAAAATTGCAAATACTTTAATCTTGAACGTAGGACAGATTAACAATTTGGTAATGACGTGAAAAACTAAAAGAAAATAAGCTTCAGTATATTTGTATGTAATTAATACTCTAGAAAACGTGCCTATTTTTTGTGCAGGGATTAACTTGTTAATTTTAGGGGATTAACTTTAGATGGTTTAGATGTGAAGTAACTTCCAGGTGCTTATCAGGTTGCTGGTTTAGTATAAAATACAAAACAAGACCCAATTTAATGTAGTCGGATATTCTCTAACTACCTGGTTTATTATTCCCAAAATTGTGGAAAGAAAATATAGAATTATGTGTCCTTTTTTTCCTTGCCTTCCACTGAATTTGATGATACACCTTTCTACCTTTTAGTAGGAAGAATTCTATTAAAATATGTGAAGGAACACCCGTATTTGCTGACAGTAAAATTAGTCCACTACCTGAATGCAGTTCACAACTCTTTAGCTACTTTTTTTCTCCTCTGAGGCTCTCCCCTTGGGTCATTTTCTTTTGCTGTTAGGCCCTTTCTCTGAATGTCAGGGAGCAATCTTTTCAAAAGTTTTTTCTCTTTTTATCAGTTATTCTATGTCTCTTGAGCTGCAGAGAATCTTAGTAACTTTATTTTCCAAGGGAGAAGGTAACTAAACAGGGCCAGCATTTTGGTTACTTTTGCAAGATGTGATTGTATATACTCAATAGTACCTTTAGGTGTGTTTCTGTTGCTTTTTTACACCTATGGTTTTGCATGTTGTTTATGATATTGTTACTTTTAGATGCTGGCAAGTCTACCATCGGAGGACAAATAATGTAAGTTTATTTTTTGTTAAATAACAGTTAATGTGATTGAATTTTGAACATTGTAAACATTCATACAAAGGAGATAAAACAGGCCTTTCAAGTTAGAAATTAATAAGGTGGCATTAACTGTAAGGGAAGGCTGATGTTAAGTAATTTTTGCTATGTGATTGTTGTATTCTTTAGGCCTTCCCTGAAATTATCACTGTCAAGACTCATGGAACATTAAATGCATTTCTGAAAGCTTGGGGGGAGGGGGATTTGTTTCTTTGTTTTTGTTTTAATGAAAAAGAATACATAGTCCTAGATTATAGGGTACCTTAGACTGATATAAATACACTTTTCTTGGGAATGAAAACCTCTTGAGTCTGGTGCATGGAGAAAACTGGTTTTTCCTCATTCATTAACTTTAATTTTGTGGATTTAGTCTAAGATTGGTATAGTCTTACTGACATGCTAAGAACATTTTTTACCATATTGAGGAGGCTATCTAGGTATGAAAATACCACAGTTGGCCTTAGTTGATGTATTCTAAAGTTCTCTGGATGGAAGTGGAGGCTCATTTGCTGTTATGTTTTTGTAGAATACAATTTTTTGTTTATGGGCTATAATTTTCATTGGCATTTCACAGGGATTCTACCTATACTCAAGTGGTTAGAAGCATGTGGTATAGTGGCTGCATAGAGATCAAAGTGAGGAACCAGTGGACTTTGATTACAATTAAGTCAAAAGAAACAGGCATTACTAGGGAATTATTTTAAAATTATACTCCCACTTATACAAATAATAACTTAAAAATGTCAAAAATTAAAATGTATTAATATGACTTAATTGCCTGGATAACACAGTTGGAATTACTTGCTTTAAAAATAATTTATTCTAAAGTTTTAGACTTAAGAAAGGTTGCAAAAACAGAGTACCCATATACCTTTCATGCAGCCTATTCTAATGTTAACATTACATATACATACATACACATATATATAAAACCATATGTAATTGTGAAACAAAAAAGTTAACATTAACATTGGGCGAATACTATTAAACCACAGTCTTATTTGAATTTCACGAGTTTTTCCATCAATGTCACATTTTTCAGTTCTAGAAGTCCACTAAAAGTCCACATTGTATTTAGTTGTTTTATCTCAGTCTCCTCCAACTTATGACATTTCCTTGGTCTTGTCTTTCATGACCTTTGTAATTTGATGGGTGGTATTTACTTGTCTTATAGGCTGTTCCATTTGGGTGTGACTTTTTACCAAATAGATTGAGTGTATGCATTTTAGGCAAGAATATCACAGAATGTTGTGTTCTTCTCAAAGCATCCTATCAGGGATACATGATGTCAGTATTCATTCTGTTTCACTAATTACTGGTGAGAGTAACCATGCTTATTTGGTTAAGGTGCTGTCTTCAAGAATTCTCCACTATAAAATTATTTATACACCCTGCTTTTTTAGGGGAGCTATCTTTCCTATGGAAACGCTCCATGATTTTAGCAATGGAGATATTTTTAAAATAGCTATTTTCTGGAGTTGCAGTTCCCCTCAAGAGCTTTAAAGTTTTCCAAATTTATTTTTTTTTTAGAGTTTTCCTAAGGAGGAATTTGTGAATAAGTGTTTATTTCTTTTTAAACATTTTCAGGTATTTGACTGGAATGGTTGACAAAAGGACACTTGAGAAATATGAGAGAGAAGCTAAAGAAAAAAACAGAGAAACTTGGTACAGTAAACTCTTAAGCCACTGTAAATTACTTTTTTGGAAAGACTTACCACTTTATGCTTTCGCAGTCTACTAAAATATAAGTTCTTGAGGTCTAAAATGGTGTCATAACAGGGAAAATTTCTCTTCACCTCATAGTGCCAGTTCTGGATGACTACATAGCTCACATAAAGAAAACTGGGAAACATCCAACCAAACCTTCAGCAGTAGGAGGCTCGTTGAATAAATTATATTTAATTGGATTGTCCCCTAACCACTACAACATTGCATTTACTAAAAACAGAAATTATGTTGCATTGGCATTTGGAAAGAAAAAAGAATGGAAGGGATTATTTACAGTGCTTGCTTTTGAGCTGCAATTTATAACATATTTATTTATTTATTTATTTATTTTTTTTCAAAAGTTGCACTAGTATTTACTGAATGGTACATTTATAGGGTTTTTTCTTTTTCCTGTATGGGGAAAATCTAATCATTACTGTGCAAAAAATGGATCACATACAATGAAATACAGCTAGTGAAGTGATCTAAATTGTGGTTTGAATGGTTTGAACAAGTAATTTTTACATGGTGGGATGATATTAAAATAATGTTTAGCAAGTATCCATTATTCCCCAAGTGGTTGTTAGTGGCTTCAATTTAGACAGTCATCATTGTATTATACTTTGTACCAGGTGATTATAATAAAGTGAAATATAGGGCCTCCCTGGTGGTGCAGGAGTTAAACTCTCAGTGCTATAAAGCTTTTGCCAGCCACTGCAGCATAAATTCAATCCCTGGGCAGGGAGCTACCCCTATGGTGCAGCAGACCTCTCCTGTGTCCCTGCTGCTCCCCTCAACAGTGTTATTTCAATAGATCCGCCTGTTCTGCTCCCCACTCTGTCTCTGGTGAATCCTCTCACCCCCTGTACCCCAGTTCTTTTACGCATAAATAAATAAAATCTTGAAAAAAAATAGTGAAATATAAAGGAACTTGCTTACCTCATGGTTGGCGTTAGTACTATATAGTATTTCTGTGTATGTTGTCCGCTTATTTTCATAAATTTTTTTTTAAAGATTTATTTATTTATTTATTTAATGCAAGCACTGGGTACAGTCAGAAGTGCGGGAGGGTGAGAGAATTCACCAGAGCCAGAGCAGGGAATAGAACAGGCAGACTGACGAAGAAATAGACTGCTGAGGGGAGCAGCGGGCGCGGCAGGAGAGGTCTGCATGCCATGTGGGACCCTCGCCGGTGGCCGGGTATCCAGCCGGTGCTGCACAGCCTGCGGGCAGCTTCGTAGCCCAGCGCTCAACTGCTGCGCCACCAGGGGAGGCCCTATTTTCATAAATGTTTATTCATAGATTATGACTTAATTATGGGTATGTGTAAAAGCTCCAAGTGCTTGAATCCAATAATACAAAACATTCATTTCCATATAGTCCTGTTCATGATTTAAATACTGTATGATGGGCATAAACTGGATGTTGTCCCAGCTTTAATGGTAGCAGACTATCTTAAAAACTCATGTTCTTATCAATATTACTTTATTTTAAAATTATTTCAGGTACCTGTCTTGGGCATTAGACACAAATCAGGAAGAACGAGACAAAGGTAAAACAGTAGAAGTGGGTCGTGCCTATTTTGAAACGGAAAAGAAGCATTTCACAATTCTAGATGCACCTGGCCACAAGAGTTTTGTCCCAAATATGATCGGTGGTGCTTCTCAAGCTGATTTGGCTGTACTGGTAAGAAAAGATATTTCCAGTTCACCCATGTATTTGCTAGAATTGTTACTTAAATTTTAAGTATTTATATTTAGGATGTGAACTGTTAATAAACAATCACGATTTTCACTGTTGTCCTGCTAATCTGTAAAGAAATCCTTATGGTTTGATTTAGTTATTAAAATGTTTCAAGTTTTCTCTATCATTCTGCTGTTACTGTGTCAGAGCTTAGTGTCCATTATGTGATCTGTTTTCTTTAGGAATTCAGTCATTTTGTAATGGCTTTGTCAGTGTACTTGCAGTAAACACAAGTTTAGATTGTAAATATGCAGGCATGCTAGAGTTATGAACGATTGAGAATTACAGAAACATTTACTGAAATCTTAAACCATTTATTTAGATATTGTCTGTGACTGTCAAAAACCATGTATAGTATAACTCACTTGCTTCTATTGCACAAAGCTTGTGACTCTACTGAAGCTGTTTTAACTGCTGGACGGGTATACTTAAAGAGATAAGAGCATAGTATTTGATTTCTTGGGATAGGTGATCTCTGCCAGGAAGGGAGAATTTGAGACTGGGTTTGAGAAAGGAGGACAGACAAGAGAACATGCAATGCTGGCCAAGACGGCGGGTGTGAAACACTTGATTGTCTTGATCAATAAGATGGATGATCCAACTGTGAATTGGAGCAATGAAAGGTAAGTTTATGTTTTACTTTTAACAGACATGTTAGAGGAATAAATGATGCTGTTGTTACTGTGTGTGTATTCCTGTAAGATTCCCTTAAACCTTTATTTCATGATGAATCTATAGAGTTCAATTGAGTTAATTATAAATATTTAATTGAGTTAATTATAAATATCCATAGATATGAAGAATGTAAAGAGAAACTAGTGCCATTTTTGAAAAAAGTTGGCTTCAATCCCAAAAAGGACATTCACTTTATGCCCTGCTCAGGACTGACTGGAGCAAACCTTAAAGAGCAGTCAGATTTCTGTCCTTGGTACAGGTAAGTAACCTTCTTATCCTTTAAAAAGAAAAAGTTTATATCTTAATAGTGACTGTAACCTTGGCTTTAAAAGTAGCAGGACCTTTGCCCACTTTTTAAGTTGGGTTGTCTTGTTATTGAGTTGTAAGAATGCTTTATATAGTGGATACAAGCTCCTTATCAGATATGTAATGTGCAAATATTTCCTTCCATTTATGGCTATAATTTTGATGAAATCCAGTTTAATTTTTCTTGTGTTTATGGTACTTCTGGCATTATATTTAGGGTAACATGGCCTAATCCAGTCACAAAGAGTTAGTCCTTTTATTTTCTACTAAGCGTGTTAGAATTTTAGCTCTTATATTTAGAGATGTATTTAATTTGGGGTTAATATTTTTATAAGGTAAAGTCTTGATTACTATAGCTTTGTCAGTTTTCAATGGGAAATGTTAAGTTTTTCAATTTTGTTGGTTTGTTCCCCACATCCTCCTCTACCCCCAAGGTTGTTTTGGCTGTTCTGGGTCCCTTAAATTTCCATCTAACATTAGGATTAGTTTCTCCATTTTTGTGAAAAAGGCAGTTTTGTGAAAAAGGGATTGCACTGAATCTACAGATCAATTTGGGATGCATTGATATCTTGAGAAAAATCATCTAACCTAATCTATATACTATAGTTTGAAAGGGTAAATTTTATTGCATCCTGATTTCAGAACTGGAAAAGCTTATAAAAATTGAATAGAGCATGGTTGTTGCATCAGTAACACCGCAGTAATAAAGAAAAGAAAGTGGGAATCGTGGAGCAGGCTGTGGGATGCAGGATGTGGCTCGAGATCAAAAGCCTGGCCTTTTTATTGATAGAGAAGGGTGGGTCAAACTGAACACTGCATTTTGGGCTTCAGGGAGGGTGGGTGTACACCTGACTCCCACCCACGGCCCCAATCATTAACAAGGTGTCCTCTGATCATTCCTGGGGCACAAAGCACATCAGTATTGCCCCAGGGTGACCAAGCGTCCTGCTCTTGTCTAACTTGAAAGCAGCCTTGTACACGATACCCACACATTGGCATTTTATGACAACATGTAGGCTGTTTGCTATAAAATATTTTTCTAAGACAATACATTTACAGGGAAGTAGTTTCATTATAGTGTAACTTTCATTATATTTTATTTTTAGTTTTCTATGGATTAGAGGTAAACTAGATAATAAATTGGTAAGACTATTACCTGTGTGGAATGAAAATTCTGTTATGACCATGGTTTTTGTAGTCATGTTACTTCTTAAAGTTTTGATATTTTGATATTCATGTTGACTCTTTAATACATATTATTATGTTCTTAGTGGATTACCATTTATTCCATATCTGGATAATTTGCCAAACTTCAATAGATCAGTTGATGGACCAATCAGGCTGCCAATTGTGGATAAGTACAAGGTACCCAAATTGTTTAAGAAATTGGGTTTATGGGAGGTGAAATACTGCTTTTGTTTTAAATTATAGAAACAACTTTAATAATAACAACTTAGATGTCACTTTATTAATGATTGTATATTATTTAGTGGCATAGACCATCCAGATAGTTTACTTCAGCTGTTTCCCAGTGAATGAGAGAAACTCATACAAGTAAAACTGTTACACTCAAAGATTTTGAACATTTGACAGATGTTGACAAATATTCATTACGAACTACTACCAGCAGTTTATGAGTGCTCATTTTAACATAGCCTCAACGGCACTGAAATTTAATCTTTAAAACAGTAAGCTTCAGTAATTTTAACTACATTTTGAACTTGATTATAAAGTTTTATAATATCAGTATATGGTGTTTTGTTCCCATCAAACAATCCTTTCATTAATGCCATGCTAAAATACTGTTTTTTGAATTATATATAGAAGGAAACATAAAATTGAACAAATGATTCTGTGCTTCACTGGTACCATGCTTTTTTTTCTTGTGTTAGCATACTTAGTTTTATAATTGCACATATGCTTATGACACAACCATTACGGTGTTTGTTACATATCCTATGTTAAGATAAATGCTTTAATAAGCATTCTTGTATGTGAGCTAATGATTTTCCTTTGTGCATACACCCTGCAAGATTTCACTTTGGGTTGCTGAACTACTATAAAGTAGTAATACAAATATGAGACTTGGGGTTTTTTTTATTTTAAACGTAAACAGGATATGGGCACTGTGGTCCTGGGAAAGCTGGAATCGGGATCTATTTGTAAAGGCCAGCAGCTTGTGATGATGCCAAACAAGGTAAGAATTATTCACTGTGCTTCCCATTTAGATTTTTTCCATGAAAATATTAACAAGAGACAGAACTTTTCAAGAGCTTGGGTTTCCATGAAAAGAAACTTAACATTTAAAAAAATCTAGGATTACATTTTATTAATGTCAAGTACAAAATTTGAAAAAGAGGGCCTCCCTGGTGGCCTAGGGGTTAAGTCTCAGCACTATCACCTATATGGCCTGAGTTCAGTCCCCGATCAAGGACCTAACCCACATATGGTCCAGCAGACCTCTCCTGTCTCACCCGCGGCTGCCCACAGTAGTGTATTTCTGCCTGTTCTGTTCCCCACTATGTCTCTAATGAATCCTCTTTACCCCCCCCCCAACACAACTTCAACCTACATCCCAGTTCTTCTATGCATAAATAAATCTTTTAAAAAGAGTACATTGGTGCTATAATTGTTAGGTGACAAATGGGAAGGCATCAGGCCTCCCTGGTGGCACAAGGGGTTAAGACGCAGCCTATGGGGGTCTCCCCTGCTGCGAGGCTGCCCGCAGCCTCTGCGGTGCCGGTTCAATCCCACATGGTGCGCAGACCTCTCCTGCTGTGCCCGCTGCTCCCCTCAGCAGTGCTTTTCGTTTGTCTGTCTGTTCTGTTCCCTGCTCTGGCTCTGAATTCTCTCACCCTCCCACGCTTCTGACTGTACCCGGTGCTTGTATAAATAAAAAGATAAATCTTTAAAAAAAAAAAAAAAAGACGCACCCTATGAAGCTGTCCACAACTGCTGCAGCATGAGTTCAATCCCCCCGCCAGGGAGCTACCCACATGGTGCAGCAGACCTCTCCTGATACGCCCGCTGCTCCCCTCAGCAGTGCTTTTCGTTTGTCTGTCTGTTCTGTTCCCTGCTCTGGCTCTGAATTCTCTCACCCTCCCACGCTTCTGACTGTACCCGGTGCTTGTATAAATAAAAAGATAAATCTTTAAAAAAAAAAAAAGACGCACCCTATGAAGCTGTCCACAACTGCTGCAGCACGAGTTCAATCCCCCCGCCAGGGAGCTACCCACATGGTGCAGCAGACCTCTCCTGATACGCCCGCTGCTCCCCTCAGCATTGTTTTGGTAGATGCACCTGTTCTGTTACCTGCTCTCTCTGGTGAATTCTGTAAGCCCCCCCACCCCGCACCTCTGGCCTGTACCCCAGTTCTTGTATGCATAGATAAATCTTAAAAAAAAAAATGGGGAGAGCCTCTCTGGTGGTGCAGCAGGTTGAGTGCAGTGCTTTGAGGCTGTTCGCAGCCTCTGCAGCGTGAGTTTGATTCCCGGCCGGCCAGGGAGATTCCCACATGGCACAGCAGACCTCTCAGGTCTTGCCCACTGCTCCCCTCAGCAGTGTCTTCGGTCCATCTGCCTGTTTTGCTCCCCACTCTGTCTCTGGTGAATCCTCTCACCCTCCCATGCCTCTGGCCTGTACTCCAGTTCTTGTATAAATAAAAATAAATCTTTAAAAAAAAATGAGAAGGGATCCTTATTAGTATTATTTTTGAGTTGAAAGATGCATTAGAGAGTTTCTACTATTCTACAGGCAAGTACATAGAATCTGGAATAGTTATGTGATTTGCATTTGTCAACACAAGGAATTAGTGAGCCGGAGGTGAAAACTCAGGTTACCTTCTTTTTTTGTATGTAGTTATGTTGGATCCTATAAATAGGTCTTCACTCTTCTTACCTTACTGTAATTTTTTTCATCACTGAAGGAGGGTTTCTTTAAAAAAAAATGTATGCAAAACTTCTATGAACTATACCAGCTGATAAGGGCAGATGACATGTTTCAAAAGGCTTTTCACAACTCCAGAGATGTTATTTAGAAAAAAAGGACCTGAATCATCAGAACTTTCAAACATATTTTGCTAGACTTTCTTTTTACATGCCTAGTCCAGCCCCAGTGAATTAAAAAGATACACATTATCAATGTAGTGTTTAAGTGTAATTGGTACCTAACAAGTTATACTTTGTGGTTAGGTCAATAACAACTGAATGAAAATAATGGTCAATTGAATCCTTGGTTCAATTTTTTCTATAGAGCAGTCACACAAGTGCATGTTGCTCATGGAGATGGAAGTAGCAGGGTTGGTTCTTGCAAGAGCTGGGGAGAGGAAAATGAAGAGTGAATGCTTAATCAGTGCATGTTTTCCTAGGGTGGAGAAGACAGTCTGGGACTAGACAGTGATGATTGTTCACTCTGAAAGTATTAGACACCACTGAATTGTACAATGTAACAGTTTAAAAAGTAAATTTCCTGTTCTGAGTGCATTACCATAATAGAAGGAAAGGTGCAGTTCACTCAGCATGTAAACATAATGCTGGGCTATCACTATAGACAAGGGACATACACTTTACTAATAGTTACAGACCAAGTGGCTGTTTTCTGTGAAGCTGCACTATTACACCAAATCGCTGTGCAGATGGAGCATATCCATAGTTAAGTAAACAGAGTGAAATAAAATGGATAAGCAACCCATGGAATGGGAGAAAATAACCACATCATAAATCTGGTGGGGGGTTAATATCCAAAATGTATAAAGAACTACAGTTCAGGGCCTCCCCGGTGGCGCAGCGGTTGAGCGCTGGGTTGCGAAGCTGCCCGCGGCCTCTGCAGTGCAGGTTCGATCCCCGGCTGCTCCCCTGCCACCGGAGGAGAGTCCCGCTTGGCGCGCAGACCTCTCCTGCCACCCGCTGCTCCCCTCAGCAGTGTACCATGGTCCTTCTGCCTGCTCTGCTCCCCACTCTGGCTCTGGTGAATTCTCTCACCCTCCTGTGCTTCTGACTGTACCCAGTGCTTGTATAAATAAATAAATAAATCTTTAAAAAAAAAAAAAAAGAACTACAGTTCAACAAAAACTTATACAAATGATGTACAGATGGCCACAAGTACATGAAAAGATGTTGAGCATTAAAAGATATAGTTAGAAAAGGTAATCATTAGGAAAAATGCAAATCAAAACCAATGAGATGACATTAAACCTGTAAGGATGACTACCAGCAAAAAAACAAGTAATAGCAAAAGTTAGTGGGGATATGGCGAAATTGGCTGTGGTGATGGCAGGAATGCAAAATTGTACAGCTGTTGTAGAAAAGATAAAAACAGCCTCAAAAAATGAAAAAAAAAAAAAAAAAACCAGAATAACCGTATGACCCAGCAATTCTACTTGTAGGTTGGGTATATACTTAAAAAGAGTGGAAAACAGTCTTTAAGAGATGATTGTAAACCCTTATATCAGCACTATCCACCACAGACAAAAGGTGGAAGCAAGCCAGGTGTCCTGCAGATGAATGGATGAATAACATGAACCTTGAGGAAATTATGCTGAGATACAGTCATAGAAGGACAGATACCCTAAGATCCTACTTATTTGTGGTACCTAGTGTAGTCCAATTTCATGGAGACGGTGAATGGTCCCCACAGTTGGTGGAGGGAGAATGGGGAGTTAGGTTGTTTAATGGATAGTTTCACTTTGTGAGATGAATTTGGAATTTTGAGCATTGCTTGCATTACAGTATGAATGTATTTGATACGATGGAACTAACATTTTTAAAAGGTTAAGATGGGCCTCCCCCCTGGTGCAGCGGTTGAATGCTGGGTTGCAAAGCTGCGCGCAGCCTCTGCAGCTCTGGTTCGATCCCCAGCCACTGGGCAAGGGGCCCACATGGCGCGCAGACCTCTCTTGCTGCCTGCTGCTCCCCTCAGCAGTGTATTTCATCAGTCTGCCTGTTCTGTTACCAGCTCTGGCTCTGGTGAATCCTCTCACCCTCCCACGCTTCTGACTGTACCCAATGCTTGTATAAATAAATAAATCTTTAAAAATAAAAAGGTGAAGATGAAAATTTTTATGTTCTACATTTGGCTGCAATATTATAAAGGTTTTTTTAATGAGAATTACAAATTGATACTTTAATCCTTGAAATTGTTTTGTGGTGCAGATTAATATGTAAATTTGACTAGATTGGTGGCTTGAAAACTCTTTGTTCTTAAGTCCTTTGAAGCCTCTGATTCACCTCCTAAGCTGGGCTGCAGCAAAAGGTAAAGCAAAAGAAGCCATATAGGAAGATCAGAAACTCTTGAGTGTGTGATGAAATGTCTGAATATTGTTATTTACAAAATCAATGGTGTTGAGTTTGCATATGGAAATAGGGAAGTGGAGATAATTGAACCTGCATGTATTTCATTGAAGGTGGCTTTTCATCCTGTTTTTTTGTGGCCCATTTCTGAGAGGTTAAGATACTCGGGATCTGTCTGGTACGTGAGTGTAAAACTAAAGATCATGTTACTAGGAACGTGGACACTTAAGATTGCAACTTGTATCACACAAATCCTAGACTTGTGTCCAGAACTGTTTGAACTGCGCCAGGGTCCTGTCAAGACAAGATGAGAACTGTGAAGACAGCTGCAGCTTTCCTTTACAAGTGCTACCCACTCCTCACCAAATGTCTTAAATGTAGCCTCACAGCTCTCAGATAGAGGTGTTTATTGGATTGGAAGTTAATTGCGATCTTGAAAACCTTTCAACGAACATAATGTCTGTCTCAATCTTAATTTTTGATGACTGTGGACCTTTAGACTACATCTGCTGTGTTGAACAATAAAAGGTCTTATTTGTGTTGAACCAGAAAAAGGGATAGTAGGACAGAAGGTAGTGAGCAATACTTGTTCAGTTTGTATATGGTAAATTGTCAGTTCCTACCCCATTGCCATAAAGAATTTAAAATTTATGGCTTGGTTTCAGTTCTTGGAATGAATTTCAACAGATAGGAATCATGAAGGCATAAGCTGCCTTTTGGGAAAGAGAACCAGTTGGTGGGGGGATAGCTTAGCAAGTGACAGTTTATAGAATTCTGGTATGGAATAGAATTTAGGTTCTACCTTTTATCTACTTGAAGACTGTTGTTTTGTTTTCTGATAATTATTTTGATTATCTGAATTATCCCCAGGGGCAGGAATGGAATAAGGGAAAACTTGTGGGTATAGCTTTAAGCAATTTTCCCCATCAGTATACTTAATACATAATTATTGTGTGAAGTACACCATTAGTGATGTTTAGTACAGTCACAGTATTGTGCAGCCATCACCACTATCTAGTTTCAGAACATTTTCATGACAAAAGGAAACTTTGTACCTATTATAGTCAGTATGCTCTTTAAACTTAATTATTCAAATAACTTAAGTACACTCTTCAGGTATTTGAGGATTGCTAAGATGTGAAAATTGAGTCTGTTAAGTCTTGGAGTTCCAGAATAATAAAATTACATCCACAAGATAAAATCCAAATGTTTAGTTTAATACCTTTTTTCTTTTTTTTAAAGATTTATTTATTTATTTATATAAGCACTGGGTACAGTCAGAAGCGCGGGAGGGTGAGAATTCACCAGAGCCAGAGCGGGGAGCAGAGCAGCCAGAAGGACTGAGGTGCACTGCTGAGGGAAGCAGCGGGCGGCAGGAGGGGTCTGCATGCCATGTGGGACCCTCCTCCATGTGGGACCCTCCTCCGGTGGCCAGGGAGCAGCCGGGGATTGAACTGGTGCTGCAGAGGCTGCGGGCAGCTTTGCAATCCACCGCTTTTATCCATTGAGAAATGGATAAAACTATTAGAAGTTTACATCTAGAAAAAACAAACAGTAGCATGTAAGCAGGGGAAGCCCTAGTTTAATACTTTTAACTTGAAAAATAAAAACAAAACACTGTGCTGTCTTTTAATTTCTAAAAGATTTACTTTATGCATATAAGATTTGGGGTTTAGGTAGAAAGGGGGAGGGTGAAGGGATTCACCAGAGACAGTGTAGGGAGCAGAACAGGCAGAATGACTGAAATACACTGCTGAGGGGAGCAGCGGGCGAGACAGAAGAGGTCTACTATACCATGTGGGTAGCTTTCTGGTCAGAGATCAAACTCATGCTGCAGAGGCTGCTTATAGCTTCATATGCTGAGACTTAACCTTTTGCGCCCCCAGGGAAGGCCTATACTGTGTTGTATTTAAAAACTATAAGGAAGTAATAGTTAAAAGATGACCAAGTTTAACTGACACTTCTCAGATACAATTTTCATTAAGTTCATATCATACAAATGTGATAAAGCTTTATAGTCAAATACGTGTTTTGGCTAGTCAAAAACACAGGAATATGTGACTTGCCAAGTCTTTAGTGAATAGTCGCGGTCATACTATGTTTTGTAGTGCAGTGTCAGAAAACCTCCAATCTTGGTTTCTTTTTAAGCACAATGTGGAAGTCCTTGGAATCCTTTCTGATGATGTAGAAACTGATTCTGTAGCCCCAGGTGAAAATCTCAAAATCAGACTGAAAGGAATTGAAGAGGAGGAGATTCTTCCAGGATTCATACTTTGTGATCCTAATAATCTTTGTCATTCTGGACGCACATTTGATGCACAGGTAAACCAGTTACTGTAGTTGTCTTAGTAGTCTTTTTCTAGATAAATGAGAATTTAAATGTCCTTTGTTCTGATTATTGGTAACATGTTATTCTGTTGTCGAAGGGAAACTGAAATAGAATAAACACTTTCATTGTGTACACACAGGTCTTCAAGGTAGTAAGTTCTTACTGGCTAGGTAGGGTTCTTTTATAGATTCCTTTTAATTTTTTGTTTCCTGTTGATATTTATAAACACACGTATGTATATCATTTCACTCAAGTGTCTTTCATTTTATGTAGAGCACAGTTGCCTTGAAAATCATGGATTGTCTATTTCCAGACAGGAAAAAAGGCACTTTTTCCATATTACAAGCATCCTGATCTCCAGAATGACAATAGATAATTGGTGTAGGCCACAGAATTTTTGAGTTCTTTTACAAGGGATTACCACTGACTGATCAAGTTAGAATCTGATGTTGGATACATGGTTGTTCACTCTTACTGAACCTTAGCTATTGAGAAATGGATAAAACTATTAGAAGTTTACATCTAGAAAAAACAAACAGTAGCATGTAAGCAAGTGATTAATGTAATTCCTTGGGGTAAAAAGGAAAGGCTTCCCAGAGAGAAAGTGTTTTTAAAGTGTGACTGAATGCTGGGCAAGGAAATCACAGCTCAGGCTTAGAGGTTAGGTAACTGACCTATCACTGCTAACACAAAAATGAGGCACTGAGAATGTGAGTTACATATTCTTATGCTACTATTTGGCACTTCAGAGCATTTGATTCTTTTTTACATCAGGAATGAAGATGTGAATTTTTTTGTTTGACAGATAGTGATTATAGAGCACAAATCCATCATCTGCCCGGGTTATAATGCGGTGCTTCATATTCATACCTGTATTGAGGAAGTCGAAATAACAGTGAGTTTTCAGATAAATGGATTTTTGTTTGTTTGGGGACTTTTTTTATCTTGATAATATCTGATCAGCAATAGTGATACCCTCTAATTTACATTTCTGTTCTTAAAGATTCTTTCATTGGACATTTTTCTGATCTTCTACTCCTTTCTTCTTGGACAGGCCTTAATCTGCTTGGTAGACAAAAAATCAGGAGAAAAAAGTAAGACTCGCCCCCGTTTTGTGAAACAAGATCAAGTATGCATTGCACGTTTAAGGACAGCAGGAACCATCTGCCTTGAGACCTTTAAAGACTTCCCTCAGATGGGTCGATTCACCTTAAGGGATGAGGGTAAGCTTTGAACTGATCTCTAACAGTATGCCCACGGTGCTTTAACTTTGGTCATTTTCATCATTCAGTATAGGGCACATTACAAGTTGATAGAAAACTTGGACATATGTTCCATAATATATTCATAAAGTGAATGTTTTATGAGTTGAATGAATTGAACAGCAGACAGAACTGACCATGCATTTTAGCATTAACGCTCTAGATTAAATAGTATAAGAGTATAAAGTTTTGTATTTTCTAAGTTGGGGGTTCTGAGAACCATTTATTTACTAAATAAGACATCTCTATGCAATCCTTTGTAATATGTGTGCTTACAGCCTATCTTGAAGGGCTTAGTCCTGTAGGGTAAGTTTCTGCTAAGCACTCCTACCTGGTTATCTTACTTTTGTAGTCAAAATGTTTTAAAATCAAATGCGATAAATATTGGCCGCACTTATATTTGATGGGGTGGGAAGAACAAATGGGCTGCCTAGATCAATAGTCTGTTAAAACACCTAAGTTTTTCAAGGGTTTAATATTCATGTTCTTTTGCCTCCCTCCTGGGGAATCAATAGATTTGTAATTTTCCTGCGTTATAGGCCGTAAGGTCTTCAGTATCATGAAAACAAAATTACATTCATTAAACATTTCTCTGTGGATAGTTATAATTATTTTAAGACTGGAGAACTTAGATAAAATTTTACAGTTCAGTTGAAATCCTTCATATGTTCTAATTCTATTCAGAAAAAAAAAATTATATCTACTGAATGTCAGGAACTATGCTAGGGCAGCACTGGGAATATAATGATGAATACAGTATCTGCATTTAGCTTAAATTATTTTTGGTGATAGTGAAACTGTTGGAATTTTTCTACTAATGTTAGTAGAGAATGTTACCATTTTAGCTGGCAGAATCAGGGAGACAGAAGTAAAGAAATTAATGTAGCTAGAATTCTTAACCCCAGAATTATTTTTTGCTAAAGAATAGCTTACTTTTAGGTGTTTCAAGGCTCCTGGTGGGTTCTGTATCTTCTAATAGGATTGGGAGCCCTTTTTAACAGTTACATTGAGATGATTTATATAGCATGAAATTGATACATTCAAAATGCATGATTTAATATGTTTACATAGTTGTATAATCACTACGTTTTAATTTTAGAACATTAGAACATCTAAACAGAAACCCTTACACCCGTGTAGTCAGCCCCTGTTCCTATCTCCAGTCCAAGGCAACCACAAATGTCTACCCTATTTGCCTTTTAGGAAATGTCATATAAGTAAAATCAGTAGAATTCATGGCCATTAGTGTCTAACAGTGTGGTTCTGAGGTTCAACCATGTTGTAGCATGGATTGGAATTAATTCCTTTTTATTAGTATTCCATTGAGTGGTGGATAATTACACATTTTACTTTAAAGTATAGGTTTTTGAATTAAGAAAGCATATTGTCTATTTAGTTCCCCCCTCAAAAAGATCTATTTATTAAGACTGCCGAATCAGAAACCATGCCTTTTGGTGGTAGAGCCATTTAATTTGTAATTTGCATTGTAAAAGGTATATTATTTAAAATAAGCTTTAATACCTTATATATCCTTGCTGTTAACTACTGAAAGGTTTTTTTTAAAAATTTCATTTTTAGGTAAGACCATTGCAATTGGAAAAGTTCTGAAACTGGTTCCAGAGAAAGACTAAGATTTTCTTGATGACCCTGCACAATACTGTGAGGAAAATTGACTGCAAAAGCCTACTTCACACCGCCTTCTCTTATTTTCTGCCCATTGACAAAACCTCTCCCCATATTTTGCAAAGAAAAATTCACTGCAAAAAGTCCACATTATGTCAGCTTTCTCATATTGAGAGCTCTGCTATGCCACTGTTGAATTTTTCCCAAGATTTTTTTTTCTGCCCTCCACCCTCACACCCCGCTTCCTTGGACAGATTTGGCAATAGCTTTATAAGTGATGTGGACATAATTGCCTACAATAATGAAAACCTACAGAAATTTTATTTTTCATTTCCCCCTTAGGCATACTTAGACTCCTCCACTCCCCCAGGCAGATCATTCTGAGTGTGCGAGTGTGTTGTGTGTGCACATGTTTCAAAGACAACTACCATGTTAATAAAATATTCAATTTGAAACCCTTTTCGGTATTTGAATTGCTTTTGAATAATGTTTTTTATCTGGATGTAACATTGTTGCATTAGCTTTTTAACTTTACCAAGTAATTGAATACATTTTATTACTTGGATTTTTCTAAACTCTTTCCCTATCCACTACTTTAAATGAGGCATTTACAAACAATGTTAGTTTGTATTGAAGGAAAGTAGTTTTGATCCATTCTTTTGATGGTTAATGCATACATACAATTAAATACCTTGATGCAGCTGTGACACTGCTTTATTAGGTCTATCAGTTATTTTATGCCAATTTATATTTTAACACGATTCTTAAAATACAGTTATTTTGAAATAAAAGAACAGCAAAATGTCTTATAAGATAATAAAATTGTACCCCTACAAAAAATTCCATTAACTTGTTAAATTAGTGAAATTTACAACAAAGAAAGCATGTTGAGACCTGGCAAAAATGCCTCCTTTAGTATTTATAAGAGCTGCATGTATCTAGTATGAAAAGCGTATCAATTGCAAGTGCCAGTTCTACAAATTACTCACAGTTTACTATTTGTATCCGTAATTTTAAAGGTTGGATGACCATTGCTGGTTAAGCTAAAGCTCACCCAGCAACTAAATGAACACATATTTAGAAACATCAGAATCTGCACAGACTAAAGTTTAACAGTGATAAGTAGAATCAAGCACAGTATATGTTTTAATTATTTGAAATTGACTGTTTTCTTAAGTGTAAAGTTGAAATTTGCTAAACTATGATTTGGATGAACCACAAAGCATTGTGGTGGTTTTTAGATTGACAGCTGACTTTCTGCTACAATATCATGACTGAAATTTTAATGAGATGAGAATAAATGGGAGCTGAAAGACAATTTCTGGGTTTATAACAGAATGCTCCCTTGTTGAGTATTGCCATTTATATCCAAGACTGGGTGGGGTTCTTTTAGATTGTGGTTCATCTCTAAGTAAGAAATTTTGTAAATGTATAATGATACTTCCTTTCTCTATAATCTTCCTCAGAAAAGAAAAGCCTAGTCAGACTGTTTCCAGTCACAAAACAAAAAACATAGTCCTATTTTCTTACTATAGAATCCCCATTTGTTTCAAAAATGTGGCCACATCTTAGGGACAGAGCAAAGTTACTGTCCTGTACCTTCCTATGACTATACTCATGACTATTAAATTGCATGCAACTTAAATAAATTTTATTATGTCTGTAAATCTCGGCTTTTATTTTTCTGGGAAATAGAGGAGCTCTAATCAGTACTTAATAACTTTTTGTGCTTCTAAGTTAATAACAAAAATACTAGCAATTGCTTGGACTTTAATGAATCTTTAAAAGCTCGAGTCTTGAAATTATTTCCAAAGATTTCCATATTCAGATTGAACATATTTTAAAAATCAGCTATGTTTGCTATTAAAACATTACACTTTGAGAATATTATGTGCACGTTGCCAAGACTTAAGTAAAATGACATGGGTATCAATTGTGAAGGGCATACTTGATTGGGGGGAAAAGGTAACACACAAATGTAATTGTAAAATTAAAGTTCCTTGGCTTCTTGCACATCTGTGGAAATAGATTATTTAAAAAGAAGTCTCATTGTTAAATTAATCAACACTATGTTCTGGGCTTTTAGGTTCTTTGGTATGTATTCTCTCTCAAAGTGGATGCATTTTAAAGTCAAGAGTTAGATGTACTGGCCAGTGATGTGAACGAGGAAATAATATACCTGACCTGAATTGGCAGTGTGTAGAGACGTTAGCCCTTTAAAAAGCAGTGAATTGCTCTGCTGTCGTTTTTGTTGTCTTCAAGGGCAAGTGTATTTATATGGTGGACAATGCAAAAATATGGTAATTGGCTTCATATTTAGGATATTATATATCAAAAACATTTTCCCCCAGTACTTTTAGTTTAGCACAGATATTAGGATCAGAATTTTCTTTGCATCTTTCACATTAATATTCTTTATAATTTTCATGCTGTTAGTTTTTTTAATTAACTGAATTTAAAGGTAGTGGCATATTTGCCAATTTAAACCTTTATGTTTTAGCGTGCATGAGGAGCTATTTCCTGGTTTTAAATTGCAAAACAAACTTATCCAGTGAAAATCTATGTAAAATCAAACCAAAAGAGTTGGGTGTAAGCTGTACTGCCATGGCATGAAGTGACATGTAGTGAAGAGTTCTTGATGAAGTAAGCCTATGTATATGTCTCTGTTTTGAATTGAAAGTCTCAAAATATGTAGTAATTTAATGGAAAAGCTTTATATATATGTTCACTGTAACGAAATTCATAATTGTCTGTTCACATAAACTATAAGAACTGCTTTTACAATGTGGGATGGACTTTGAATGTAATGTAACTGAACAATTACTGGCATCCTCTCAGCTGAAGTTGCAGATATTTTGGGTCTTTGAACAAGGTGCAGTTTTGCAACCCAAGAAAAAGGTGAACTGATGGGCAAAACTGCTCCCATGATGAACTTGAAAAAAATCAACCAGACTCCCTGGCAATCTTCAGGAATACTAGTTATGTCTAATTCCTCCATGTCCTTTGATGACTATTCCACATGACAGCATTCTAGAGCCTTCCCTCATTGGCATGGACTTCCTCATGGACTGCTGCTTCATGGATGATAGCTTCATTGCTTTGGGTAGAGAACTAAGGTAGTCAAGGAACAGATCGAGTTTTTATAATAGCTCTTAACATCTGGCTACCTTCAACCTTGAAGCCCTTTGTGAAAATCACAGCTCTTTAGCTTTGACTGTAGAATGATTAAATGTCATATTCAGTGTTGGCCTACCTTATCAGAATAAAGTGTGCCATTAATCCTCTCACAGACATATGTAAGGTAGATAGCAATCAACAGAATTTAGGGACAATTTTCTGTCTCTAAATATTATGGCTTTTATGTCTTCCAGCTAATTTTTTCAATGACTCTAGCAGATGCCATCTAATACATTCATGATCTTGTTTCTTAAGAGATCTTGCCATGGCAACAACTTACTAAATGTAATTACTTATGTACAACTTGAAAAGATATTAAGTTTAAATTCAGCAGTTAGCTGGTTATATTAGATTTCATAATAAGTGGAATAGAAGTATTTATTTTCCTGTAGTAGCTCAGTGGACTCCATTTGAACCAATTTACTTCCAGAATTAAGACTGGGTGGATTTGGTTCAGCTTGTGATGGTTTTGGCTCTAGAATAGTCTTGATTTTCAATACCCTAGCACATACTGCGTCTTCCCTTCAATAAATACACTTCACATACCTCTAATCCTAAGCTTCCTTGAAACAGTCATATGCTAGCCAAATTGTTTACTAAAGAATGTTGTAAGGGCCTGGAGATGTGGGAATGGAGATTAAAGCCTTTATGTTCTCCAATATAAGGGAAAAGCAGATAGGCACCATGTCTGATCAGGCAGAAAATCAGAATTTCTTAGGCAACCTTAGGATAATAATTGTCTCTTCTGCCTTGTCATACATGCCAATTGTGCCCTTCAGAACTTAATGTGGAAACCTCAGGTTTGTGGACAGCAAAGATAGAATGACATTTGTGCTTCCTGAGGTTCTCCTCTGCCAGGCACATTAGTGTAGTGCTTCAGATGTCAGCCCAAGTCCCTGCTACCTCCTTTCCTGCTGCCCGGGAAGAGTTTGTGCTGGAGCCAGAGCTCCTGTGCTCAGGTGATCATCCACATGCATTAGGTGAAACAGGTCTAAGCCTGGAAGGTCTGCATTTCAAGGACTCACATTGAGCTCTCAGAAATTGATACCAGTTAGTTTCTTCTGTTGGTTCTAAAGGAAATGTGGATCTCTCAAGCCAGGATCTAGTGACTAGTTTTTGCTAAACAGCAGGTTAATACCTAGCTCTCATTTTTAAAAAAAAAACAAAGGGAATTGACTAGGTTTGATTTGTTTTTTTTAAAACTTAATTCCAAAGCATGGCAGAATGCTCTCAATAGGAATTATGGGAACCCAAGGTAAAGAAGCCTTTTTCTTATGATTTGTAGCTACCTACTGTGCCTGACTTGGTGCCTGTGTGAGGATTAAGCCCTTAGTCTGCTCTTGCAATTATTCAAATGACTGAAGTTAAAAAATTTGCTTTTGTAATAACAATAAAAATTGTCATCTTCCCTTTTGAAGGATTGGTCTGTTTATTTATAACCCTATTCAGTGTTGTACAGTCCTGTTTTTATATCAAGTTTTAGGACCACCTAATAGCAGATCTGGTGGATTGGGTGGAATCAATAACATCTGTGGTATAAGGGATTTTATAAATGTGTTATGAGGTTATATTATGCAAGGCCTTTGTACCATGTATAACACATCAGCAACCCCTACAGTAAGTTAGAGAGGCTTAATAATAAATAGCTATCACAGTATGTGGTTTTATTTTGTGTGTGGAACAGCTGTGGAAAAGCAATGATTCTATCAGCACTAAGCATCTCTATTTAGTATTTCTAATAATGATCAAGAGACCAAATAGTAGTTGCCTTTCTTTTCTGTGTGAGAATAAGAAGAAATTGACAAACAGGTAGTACACACAGTGGTCAATGAAATAAATGGCAGCAAAACATTCCTGCATACCTGTCTCTTACTCCATGAGTTGGAATTCATTCTAACTCAAGATAATCAGTCTTTCTTAAATCAAGATAATCAGTCTCTAGGTATTTGACATTAAATGAGTCTTAGCTTATAATCTGTGAGGAAAGCTTGCTATCAAAACAGGTTTACTCTATAAAGTTCTAAATAAATGGCTGATGACATTTTCTGGTAATAAACCACTTTTCTACTCTTCAATCAACACATTTCTACACATTTCCCTGCTCTTCAAACATTCTGTCTGTTGAAAAAACAACCTAATGTGTTTGGGCATCAAACCACATAGGCACTAGGCACTATACTGCAGTGGACAGAAGAATACCACAGAAAATCTTATACCTCATGGCTCATGGAATCAGAGACAAGATCTTTATGTATCTTAAATAAAAAATAACATCAATACTTTGGATGCTATAGATTTGCAGTAACTATGTACTACATCTCCCAACCTAAAATAAATGCTAATAAAATAACATGAATTTTAAAGTTATCCTAATTTAAAATTACGATCTTAAAGAAAAACTAGTCTCTGGTCCTGTGAAATAAGAGATTCAAGACTGGGCCTCCCTGGTGGCGCAAGGGGTTAAGACGCAACCTATGAAGCTATCCACAGCCTCTGATGCACAAGTTCGATTCCCAGCTGGCCAGGGAGCAACCCACATGGCACAGCAGACCTCTCCTGCCTCGCCCTCTGCTCCCCTCAGTGTACTTCAGTTAATCTGCCTGTTCTATTTCCCATTCTGTCTCTGGTGAATCCTCTCACCCTCTGCACCTCTGGCCTGTACCCCAGCTCTTGTATGCATAAATAAATAAATCTTTAAAAAAAAAATACAAGAGATTCAAGAAAACATGTTTCTTTAGCCTCTTTAGCAACAAGGTTAAAGCCTTTATGGCCACTCTATAAGAAGAATGTGGAAACACCGCCATGACATCTTTTTGTCATTTTTATCTGCCCTCTTAAATTCAACGTGTTAGTCTTAAAGTGAAATTTCTGTTATCAGAATATATCCTTAAATTCTTTCTGATGGCTGTGTACGTCCAAATTACTTGCATGAAATTTTCCTGTCTTTTGTTAGGAATGAGGACCTAAAATAAGAAAAAACCCTGTAGCTGATGAGTATTATCTTGTCATCCAAGTAATTGAAATACAGCCCTTCTGTTCAAAACTAGACAAAATATTTATCTTCTCCATGTGCATTAGGTCACATTTAGTGTTTCACATTTTCCCATTGCTCATGGTTCATATCAAACATTGTACTTTAACGAAATAATCATGCCCAAATACATCATGAAAAAGCCAAAAAATTTTGATTTCTAGGAGCCCAATGTGCATGTTTAAGGCAAGCAAACTCTGGTTTAAGAGTCAGACTACTAGAAATAAAAATCTATTGGTAATAGTTTAGCCAGAGGGCTAAACTATTGTGATTATATTGAGTTTCAGCTGTTGTTTCACTTAATTGAAAAACTATAATCCTCTGAAAGGACTGGACAAATAACTATACAATTACTATACAAATTACTTAAAACAAAAGCAATCTCACCATATTTATTTCTTTAGAAAATATACTATTATATCACAAAAATGAACCATTTTCTATTAATATGTCCATCCTGATTCATTCCCAAAATGTTATATTGCATATTAATTTCCAAAACAATTCACATATTTCAGGATACTTATATTACATTTATGTTTTGTTTAACTCACTCTCCTTTATTTTGGCTGTCAATTACTGTGTTTCATTTTAAAAATTCATTACTTTTAGTGAATAAAAAACAAATAGGTACATATAATGTAACAATATGCATACCCAAAGTATCTTGATTTTAAAAGTTCTAAAAAGAATTGATAGCTTTAAAATATTAAGTTATTTAATTCATGCATAAAATATTTACTCACACTACTGGAGAGAATAAGGATTTGTTCTAAAAGTTTAATTGGCAGAGAAAAGATGTTTTCTAACGTAAATCCAAAAGTTTAATACTAGAATAAAGGGAGTACATCTCTGCAAAGGCAGAGCCCAGATTTAAAGCAGGTGCTCAGAATTGCTAATCTGGCTTTAATAGTAGGCACAGAAACTTAGGATAAATGCCTTCAGAAATTTCACTGAATCATGAGAATGGTTTCAAACTCAACAGGCAAAGCTGAATGAGGATTTTTTGAAAAGTTACTAGACTTTGTTAAAAGTATGTCACTACTGACTTCAGAGGAACAGAAATAGTGACTGGAACCAGACTGTAAGGAACCGGCATGGAGCTGAAGTCACTCTACGAGACCTATAGAAAAGACCAAAAGGTAGAGAAGAAGGAAAGGGGGGAAATAGGGGAGCAGCAGCAGTATGACACTCTTTCTTAACAAGTGCACATACGAAGTAGAAAGACAGCTACCGAAAGAGGAAAGCAGAGTAGAATCTCAAGGAGGCAGACAGGGATGTGCTGATTCAGTATGTGATCACCATATGCCAGGCAAGCCTGTGTGTACCCAAAGAAGGCTTTACTACTGAACACATTTAGGAGATGAGGAAAAAGAGTTAAGGATGGTTCCCAAGTTCTGGCTTGTGCAACTAGGCAGTTGGCAGATGCCAATGACAAAGCATAGAAGTGTGTTTGAAGGGAATATGAGTTTATGGTGGGACTTGTTAGGTATCAGGTTCTTATAGGAATTCTAAGTGAACACAGTTGATGGATTTAAAGATGGAAGGTCTACAATTTCCTATTATCTATCATTGGAAAACAAATTATCGCAAATTTAGTGGTTAAAGATAAAAAAAAAATTATCTCACAGTTTTTGTGGGGTAGGAATCTGGGCACAGTGCAGCCTGATGATTCTTGCTCAGGTCTCATGGGTCCACAGGCATCTCAGGGTTCCGCTGAGGAAGGCTCCCCTGTCAAGCTCGTCCAAAGGTGGCTGGCAGACCGCCTCAGTAAGAGGGAGGAAGGGAGTACTTGAGGTGGAAACTACTGGTCTTTTTAGAACCCACCCTTAGATGTGCTGGCCTGTCACTTCTGCTGTATTCTATTCCATGGAAGCAAGTCGCTACGTCCAGACCATGCTCGGGGAAGGAAATGAAGTTCCATCACTAGTGTCACAATTTGTGTGTGACTCAGCTTTAAAATGTTCAGATTAACTTTTCTAAAGCACAATTCGCCACTACCTCCTCTCCCCACCACCAGCTGAAAAACGTATCTGTATGATTTCTCCAAAATACAAATCCTCAGCTTGATAGAGAACAAATTCCTTAATCCATCGTCCTAGCCTCAGCCCTGTTTCTCCCCTCCCATCCGTAGTCCAGAGACTAACTGCTTCCAAACACCTGCTGCTGTCTCTCCTCAAGTCATGTTGTCTCCTTGGCCCTGAATTCAGGAGTCAGAGCTCTGACAGTGCCAAACCTCTTTTCAGAATACTAGAAAACAGTGAGCTAGAAAACAGTGACACCAGAAGCCCAAAGCTATAATTTATAACATTGCTCTAGAAGGAATTCCACCTGAACAGTAGATTCTAGAATGGACAAGTGGAAGCAGGGGCCAAAGACTTAAGATAATGCTTTCCTCCAGACTGATGAAGGACAAAGTCATTGGAGCTCAGCAGAGCCAGGCTCTGCTGCCCGGCTCTGGCGACAAGGGGGCACCTCCGAAAACAACGGACAGGAAAGGCTGCCTACTCCCATTTTCCCATTTTTCAAAAACCTTTATAACTACTCACAAAAAAAGGCTAGAAGCCCCTGGAACGTCCATCAAAAAGCTCCTAAATTTCCGGCCTTCGATCCCCAGGGTGGAAGGCCATCGTGGAAAGGAGGCAGCACTGGAGCAACCTCGGAGTCACTGAGAGAAGAGGCAAGAAGCGGCACGCCAAACTACTAGATGTGTTCAAAGAAAGAAAACGACGAACTGGAAACCCAAACCTGTGAAAAGAGAAAAACGTGTTGTTGTAGAAACAAGTTCTAGCCCTTTACCCAGGCAGAGGGAGAACAAGCGGTACCTCAGGAATGGTGAGGTCAGGAGGAGCTTTATTACTCATGCTTGAGGTCCCAGACCTGGGTAATCCCATAAGGTCTGAGCACCGGTTTAAAGACCAGGGGTTCCTTTTATACACAACTGTGTCCATATCTGTTACATGGATGGCATCGCTTTTCAGCAGACACAACCATTTGCGGCAAAGTCCCCAGACAAGGGGGCAAGGCAAGGGGGGAAAGATGCAGGCATCCCGGGCTGGCCTTGGAGAAAGAGACCAGCTGGTTGGCTGCCCGGCCTTGTAGATAAGAGCGCTGAGGCCCTGGCCAGGAATCTTGAAAGGGAAGGAGCCGTAAGTCAGCAAACTTGTTGATTACGCCTGCACTGGATGTTCACTGCACCTGGGCTGGAAGTTCTGCTGGACTCTTTATTATATTCATTTGCTCAATAATATTTTTTCTCATCAGTGTAACTGGAACCCGTCTGGAAGGTTCTGGGAGGGGCAGGCTAACCGACGTCAGCTCCCGGGATGTGGGAGGCGGCCCCTCCCCCCCTTACCTGCCTGAGACGCGAAGCCCAGGCGGGACCGGCTCCAGCTCGGGGTTCGGTTCGGGGTTCGGGGCCCCACGCCGCGGAGCCGGCGCAGGCTGTTTCCTGGCGTTAGAATTTCACGGAATCCGGCCGAGGCGGTGGAGCTGCCTCCACGCTGGGGTTCGGCGCTGCGCTGGGCCGCTGGGGGTCCCGGCAGGTGGCGGCGGCCCGGGGCTCTCGCTCTCCCCGGGCGGCCGGCCCCAGGCAGGGCGGCCGAGGCCCCCGCCGGGAGCGCGGCAGGGCCTCCTCTCCCGCCTCCAGGCGCCAGCTCCATTTCTCCCGAGGGCGAGCGCGGGAGAGGGGTCGCGTCTCACGGAAGCGGGGAGCCCGCGAGCGGGAGAAGCTTCGCCTCAGGGACCGGGCTCCGGCACCCGCCGCCCGAGCAGTTCGTCTGCGCGCGCCAAAGCGCCAGGGCGCCGCGCCCCGCCCCGTCCGCCAGGAAGTGACGTAGCGCCGCCGCCCGACTTCCGGCCGCGGCTGCGCGTGCGCACAGGCCTCCAGCTGCGGGGCTCGGCACGCGCGTGTGCACGAGGTGAGGGCGACATGGAGGCCGCGGCCTCGACCGCTCCCGCCGCCTCAACCGCAGCCGCAGCGTCGACTCCAGAGGCCCCGACGGCGCTGGAGCAGCTGGACGAAGAGCAGGTGGGTGGCCCTTGCGGCTTGGGAAGCGGGGGGCCGCGGCCCGGGGAGGCGCGGGGTGCGCGGCCCGGCCCGGGTGTGGGCCCCGCGCCTCAGTGGGCGCCCCGGGCTTTGGGGGGGTCCCCTGCGGGGGAGCGCAGGCCGCCGGCTGCTGCCGCCGGCCGTAGGCGCCCGCTTCCCGCAGGCCTGCGGCCTGACGCTTGCAGCGGGCTGCAGCCGTAACTTGGGGTGCCTTTGGGTGCTGGCGAAGTCGCCTTATTTGCAGGCTCCTGTGATCCCCGCGTGGGCGCTGCGGCCCTCCGGGGGTCAGGGGGGTGCGGGACGCCCCCCGCTCGGTCCGGGAGCCGTAAACGCCGGTTACTCGCCTCGTGGATTGCGCTTTTCCTGGGGTTTCCGCTGTGGTGGTTGCGCGCGAGGCCAGCACGTTGCCATCGAGACCAGTGTTTTATGTAGAGACGCTTTTCGGTGGACGAAGAGGGTTCCAGAAAGCAGCTTCTGATGACCCGAATTGCGAATTGCAGGGTTCTGATAGGGTGGTGGAGGTTGCCCGTTAAGAAATTAAACGGCATGGAATATTACTCAGCATTCAAAAAAGATAACCCCATGCAATTTGCAGCAACATGGATGGAGCTGGAAGGGATCCTGCTCAGCGAAATAAGCCAGAAAGAAAAAGAAAAATACCGGATGGTCTCACTCATAGCAGGAATCTAGAAAACCTAAATTAGGGACCAGAAAAATGAATAACTATAAGAAAGAAAAAAATCAAAATCAACAAAAAACTATGAAGCAGAGACACTCTATGGAGGGTGGGGAGCGGGGAGGGGAGGGATTGGGGTCAAAATAAGGGGGTTGCAATTGTATGGGGAATATAAAAATAAAATTTATTTTAAAAATAAATAAATAAAAGTGGCAAAAAATAGCAAAAAAAAAAATTAAACGGAAAGAAGGTGTTGGGAGGAGCAAATGCGAAATTAGGTTGAGGTTGGACTGACTTGTGTATCTCTACCCTGCAGATTAAAAAGGCGGTGGAAGTTCTGTTGACACACACCAAGTCCAGGAAGAATGCTAATGGATTGCTTCTGAATGAGAATGAAAATTTCTTTTTAATGGTGGTCTTATGGAAAATTCCAAGTAAAGAACTGAGGGTCAGATTGTAAGTTCTGAGCTTCTGTCTTTGCTGTTTTTCTCTGCTGAGTCATTCTGTGTAACTTAGTTCTGATGGAAGAATGTGCCAGTAAAATCTCGAATGGAAATAAATATACATGCTTTAAAAAGCCATCGGGAGTGCTTAAAATTAACCTAAGCAGTTTTGAATCCAAAAACCTGGTTTTGGAGAAGAAAGGTAGAATAAGTCACTCAGCCTTTGTATTTTCATTGAATCTGATCGCTGTCCTTGCCAAATTAGTTCCAAATTCCTCAAGACTTGTGCTTTATAAATTATTGAAAAGTGAGGGCCTCCCCAGTGGCGCAGCGGTTGAGCGCTGGGTTGCGAAGCTGCCCTGGTTCGATCCCCGGCTGCTCCCCGGCCACCGGAGGAGGGTCCCACATGGCGCGCAGACCTCTCCTGCTGCCCGCTGCTCCCCTCAGCAGTGTACTTCGGTCCTTCTGCCTGCTCTGCTCCCCGCTCTGGCTCTGGTGAATTCTCTCACCCTCCCGCGCTTCTGACTGTACCCAGTGCATGTATAAACAAAAAAAACAAATAAATAAATAAAGCATGCCTCTATTAAAAAAAAAAAATAATAAAATAAATTATTGAAAAGTGAAAGAATGCTTTATGAAAAATTGGCAGTTATGTTTCCTTATTGCCCGAAACCTTAAGTCTGAGATGCCCTCTCGTATAGTTACCAGATTTGGCAGATGAAAAATAAAAGTGATTTTTTTAATATAAGTAGATCCTGTGTAATATTTGAATATTTGGGGCTTAGTTATATTTAAAAAATGATTCCAGTTAGCTTGGCTTTTCTTTCCGGCAATCTTGCCTCTCTGGAGTCTCTCAGTTCCTGAGTGTCAAAACACTTAATCTTCAAAAGAGAGCTGTTTGTAGGGGAGTTTGTTTCTTTTCTGTTGCCCAAGGGGGGTGGGAGTGAGAATGGTTCGAAAGACCTTTCTCACAACTGATTGTGCACACCTGCCCCAGCCATATAACTTCAGAGATGACTGTGTATCCCGCATGCAGTTTTGCTTCCACACCTCTGCTTGGGCAGGTTTCCTCCTCCCTCCCGTTTTCTGGGATATTTTCCTGCCTCTTGTTGATATCTGGCACTTTCTGGCTCTGCACTCTTACCTTCTCATTTGGGGAGTTACACTGCCCTCTCTGCTCAACTGAGGACTGTTTTCCATTGAGCCTCGAACCGGGCATTTCTCTAGCAAATGAGTTAAATCTTTTTTTCCTTTTTGAAACTCTACATAATAGTCACCGTATATTTGTTGGTCTCATCTCTTAACAGGTTGATAGAGTCCAGAGTTTGCTATGACTTAAAGTTCTAAACTCCAGTTGCGTTGAAACTAGATGGTTATGGCACAGTCTAGTATGTACACATATATTACAACTTACAAAATAAAAATTATGCGTGCACTATTTGGGGGTCTTTGATTAAATATTAACTTTTGTATCCTAAATAGTGACACTAGCCTAACGATATTTGTGGTGACTTAACTTGACTCTTAAGTCTCTTCTTTGCACCATTGAAAATTAGACGTATTTTTAAGTGTTCTCAGAGTACTTGGTTTAAATAGCATGAGTGAAGTTCATTGAACCGACAGTGAATTTATTGTGTGTTCTGAGGATTATAAACACACATTTTGTCTTCAATGCTTTTTTCCTTGTTTCCATCTCTTGTGTTTTGCAGGTCTTTGCCTCATGGTATTCGATCAGATTTAGCAGATGTTTGCTTATTTACCAAGGATGAACCCGATTCAACTCCTGAAAAAACGGAAAGTTTTTATAGGAAGCTTTTGAACAAGCATGGAATTAAGACCGTTTCTCAGGTAGAGAGCAGGTTACTATTTTCAAGACAGTTCAAAGATGTGACTCACTTGAAGTAATAAGTAGTACATTCCTGTGTTCCCTGGTATTTCTCCTAGTTGCTTAAGCTTAAATTTTCTTTTTTTAATTCACTTCTCATTTGCTCAGTAGGGCACACTCTACCTTCCTTATGGATGAGCTCTTCAGTTCTGTTGACCTAAAAGTTCAGTATGTACATCAGTAACTTTTAGATCTTGAAGATTTTACAAAAGGCTGCTCCACGCCTCTGGGTTTAACTGGGCACTCCGCGCCCTGTCTTGTAGTCCTTGGCGTAGTTTCTCCGGCTGGGTCTCATCTCTCTTGTCTCGGTATCCCCAGCGTTGAGCCTCGTGCCGAGCACGGTCTAGGCAGTCATGTAATTGCTAAACTCTAGGACATTGCAAAATCTGAATAGAGGTTGTTGCTCAGGTATTTTAATCTTGTTTGGATTCTAATGTTTGTGTTTTTACTTCCTCTTCTAGATCATTCCCTTTCGAACCTTAAAAACAGAGTATAAAGCCTATGAAGCCAAGCGCCGCCTCTTGGCTAGTTTTGACTTCTTCCTCACTGATGCGAGAATTAGGCGGCTTCTACCCACACACCTGGGGAGACATTTCTATCACAGGAAGAAGTATGTTACTTTGTAATGACTAGTTATAAGTAGTGTGACATTTATTGGTGTTTCACACTGTGCTATATAAGCGTCTGTGTGGTGTTGCAGATTTCCAGTACCTGTAAACCTGCTGGCCAAGAATTTATCCAAAGAGATCAATGAATCTATTGGTGGAACTGTCCTAAACATCTCTAAAAGTGGTTCTTGCAGGTGGGTGGATAATCTTATATTTAATAATGGTTTTAGAAACTTTTCTATAAGGTCATGTTAACAAAGATAGATCATTCTGTTCAAACCATGCTCTGTTCTTTAGACGTCAGTTTTCTAGATCGGAGCTGTCTAGTAGAACTTGTATAGTGATGGGAATGGTCTATATACTGTCCTGTGCAGAAGTCCACCCCTGTTCCCTCTCTACCTTCTTCCCCCACTGTTTTTCCTCTTTTGCTCTATATCCCTCTCTCCCACTCCCCACTTGCCATTTTTCCATATGGGAAGCCAAGGGTGTGTTTGTGGGCAGGTGGCTAAGGGCACGCAGTGGTCAGAGCCCTCCACCCGCCCCCACTAGTCTCATTTTGAGACTGCCTAGCCAACGGTCACCCTGCATTTTGGCTCCCATGGCAGGAAGGCAGGGGGCTGACAAGGGCAAATGGATCCACTGGCTGAGCAATGGGCACTTCCATGCTTCCTCTTGGCCAGAAGGTGAATGTTTGTTTTAGATGGCAGCTGGGTCAGAGCAGTGGAATGCTGAGAGACAGTGGCAAGCACTCCTCTTGGGGGCAGTTCCTTTCTGAACCACATTTGGGAGTAATTACCCTCAGAAGAGCTTGAGAGCTGACTTGGCGGTGGCCTGTTTATTACACAGAGGTCAAACTCCCCCTGCCTGGCTTGCTGACCCTCCTGGCTTACCTCTTAATGATATGACCCGGTTCAGAAGAAGGGCAGTCTGAAACACGAAAAATGATCATCCTCCTTTCACATCTATTGAGAATAACCTTGTAAGAAAATCAATTAATAGGGCCTCCCCAGTGGCGCAGCGGTTGAGCGCTGGGCTGCGAAGTTGCCCGCAGCCTCTTCAGTGCCAGTTCGATCCCCAGCCATGGTGAGAGTCCCACATGGCGCGGCAGACCTCTCCTGTCTTGCCTGCTGCTCCCCTCAGCAGTGTATTTCATCAGTCTGCCTGTTCTGCACCCCGCTCTGGCTATGGTGAATTCTCTCACCCTCCCATGTTTCTGACTGTGCTTGTATGAATAAATAAATAAATCTTTAAAAAAAAAAAAAGGCAAAAGACAATTAATAAAGTACATTCACGGCCCAAAGATTTTGATGTTTTAGAAACTCTTTCGGATTGTGCATGTGTGTTTTTTACATCCCTACACCCGCTTGTGCATTGCTATGAAGTGTTCTTATAAATCTTCTCGTCTGATTGTTTTGACTGCAGCGCTATCCGCATCGGCCACACTGGGATGCCGGCTCAGCATGTCATCAAAAACATCCTTGCTGTCGCCAAGGGGCTTGCACAGAAGTTGCCGGAGGTACAGTCTTGCAGCAGCGTCATTGGTAATTCATTTAAAAGAAAAAGAGCACGCGTGATCATGTTATTCTTCTTTGTTTCAGAAGTGGGAGAGCGTCAAACTCTTGTATGTGAAAACTGAAAGGTCGGTTTCTCTTCCCATCTTTTCTTCGTTTGTCAGCGTTCAGGGTGAAGCCAAAGGAGTACGCACTCCTAGCCAAAAGAAAAAGGTGAGTAGACTTAAATACTGGGTGTGCTTAATTAAAGATGTAAACTTAGCCCTGAGAAGAGAGAACTAGGCTCCCATTCCTGTCGTAAAAGCAAAACTCCTCTTCAGATTTCCTTCAGTTAGTGAAGATAGGGACTGGTGCAGGTCCTGCACAGAAGCCAAGCGACGTGTCAACTTTTGGGGGCGGGGGGGGGGCATACCAGTGATTTTAATTTTCATTAATTTTTTTCAAAGGACTGATTAACCTTAGAAGGGTCCTGTGCAGTGGGTAGAGATGCACCTTTTCATTAAGTATTGTTGTTTACAGGCAGAATGTTGGTTACCTTGGGCCGACAGATGCCTCACTGGGTTTGGAGCGCCTTCCTGTTCTCTCTGCTTTCAGTGCATGTGACCGGTCCTGCAGTTACAGAAGCTTGCTGTTTACCGGGGGTTTCCACATGCCAGTTCCTCTGTCCTTGGTGCCTTTGACTCAGGATGGTCATTTCATTGTAGAATTATTTTGAGATAAGAAAAATTCTTTGTTTGGAGGATTTACATTTTTGTCTTCGGGGCACTCGGCCAAGGACCACGGAAAGGAGTTTTGAGGTTCCCTGGGTGACTCAAAGCAAACCATCGCCATAGCTTCTGTTCACCTATACCCTGGGGGATGTACTAGGGGCCTCTTTGTGCAATCCCCTTGGCAACAGCCAGGATGTTTTTGATGACGTCCTGAGCCTGCATCCCAGTGTGGCTGATGCGGATAGCACTGTGGGAATACAGGGATTTGAATTCCTTGTTCATCCTTATTCCCCACTTCCCCACGTGGCCGTTAAAATAGCAAATAGTCTCAACACAAAGTTGGGTTGCTGTCACCACGTTGTGGGGGCACAGCAGCTGCTGCTGAGCGGAGCCTATCGTGGGAGCTGACTTGGTGGTGGCACCAGCCATGGCTTTAACTTTCACCTGTAACCTGTGAACGATTGGGGCTTTTTGTTAGGTGTTAGGTTTTGTTTTTATATAAAGATTTATTTATTTTTACTCAAGAGCTGGGGTACAGGCCAGAGGTGCAGGAGGGTGAGAGGATTCACCAGAGATAGAGTGGGGAACAGAACAGGCAGACGGGGCGAAGACACTGCTGAGGGGAGCAGTGGGCACGACAGGAGAGGTCTGCTGTGCCATGTGGGAATCTCCGTGGTGGGCCAGCAATCAAACTGGCGCCCAAAGACTGCAGATACCTTTAAAGCACTGCATCCAACCCGCTGCAACCCTTTTTGTTATGTTTTTAATAATAGCTTTATTGAAAAGTAATTCATGTCACAGACTTGACAGTGTAGGACTATACTTCATTTGTCTGTAAATGAGGTCGACTTGAACAAAATCTATGACTACTCCAAATGGGCAGATTCTGAATATTGATAATTAACCACATAGAATGCCCTTAACCTTGACACAGACAAAATGGAGTTGAGAGCCTCCCTGGTGAACAAGGGGTTAAGCACAGCACTATGAAGGTGTCCACAGCCTCTACAGTGCAAGTTCAATATCCCCTGGCCAGCAAGCTACCCACATGGCGCAGCAGACCTCTCCTGTCTTGCCTGTTCTGCTCCCCACTCTGTCTCTGGCGTCTCACCCCCTGAACCCCAGTTCTTGTATGCATAAATAAATACATCTTTTTTAAAAAAATGGAGCTGAGATGAGAGTGCTAGTGGCAGGTTTGTTTCCTCAGAGGCTTCACAGATCAAGGCCCTTTCAGGGAGCATACAGATGATCAGAACTGCAAGTGCCAGGTTGATGCCATGTAGCCCCTACTCAAATTATGTTTGGTTTTTTGGTAGGAAGCGAGAAAACAACAAAGGCGAAAAGAATATCTGCAAAAAAAGCGACTTATGAAAGAGGCTGCTGCCGCTCCATCGGCCCTTACTAAAGCTGAGGTGACCCCTAAAACCAATGGTACTCCGGCGAAGGGCCCTAAGCCCCAGAAGGCAGAGACCCCAAAGCATGACAAGAAAAAGAAGGGTAAAGGAAAGGCTGTAGTGAAAGTGCAAGACGAATCAGAAGATGAGATTCCATTACTGGTCCCAATTGGAAAACCACCTGCTAAAGAAAATGGGCAGGTATGTTTACTAATACTTAGTTCTGATACTTAGTTCTGACAGCGGGTTGATACAGGGGCCACTGTGTCTGGCAGGCACAGCAGAGGTGGGCGAGGGGGCAGGGCAGGGGCTGGAGGGGGCGGCATTGTTTGCATAAATCTGATTGAATTGAAACCTTTTGTAATAAAGATTTTGACATAATCGATGAAAAATGCTCCAGTCAACCCCAGCCCTGAAGACAGCATCAATACCCACCCCCCCTTTAAGTGTTGAAGTGACAGCGAGTAAACACAGCCTTTTATATGCCTTGGGACTTGGGGGAGGGAGACTTGACCAGAGTCATCATGCTGGGAAACAGGGCCTGTCCTTTTGAAAGGGCCAGGGTGGACGACTGGGCCATGGTTCAGTTTCTGAGGCGAGTCCTGGATCTGTCATCTAGTCAGTCTGAGAAAACATAGCAGGCCCTTGGGGCCCCTGCTGGCTACTGGATCCTGCCTCTGAAGCCTTCCCAACACCCAGCCCTTAGTGGTTCCTCACAGAAATTTGGCTTCATGGCTTTTGAGGGAGGTGATTTAAAGGAACCAAGTTTTTAGTTCTTTAATAGTTATTTTTTTTTTAAGATTTATTTATTTGTTTGTTTGTTTATTTATGCGAGCACTGGGTACAGTCAGAAGTGCGGGAGGGTGAGAGAATTCACCAGAGCCAGAGCGGGGAGCAGAGCAGGCAGAGGGACCGAAGTACACTGCTGAGGGGAGCAGCGGGCGGCAGGAGGGGTCTGCGCGCCATGTGGGACCCTCCTCCGGTGGCCGGGGAGCAGCCGGGGATCAAACCGGCGCTGCATAGGCTGCGGGCAGCTTCGCAACCCAGCGCTCAACCACTGCGCCACCGGGGAGGCCCTCTTTCATTGTGTCATTCCTGTCATCCACCTTGAAAGTGAGGGGGTGTAGGTTCCTAGGAGGCTAGAGGGTTGCCTCACCTTGTATTGAGGACTCAGGCCCCTCTGGGTGCAGGTGCCCTGGGAGTCCTGGGTTTTATACTTTACCTATTTTTTGCTTTATCTTACCAGTTCCCCTTAAAATCTTCAGTGACATTTTCCATCTACCTAGTATCCCCCCCAAATGTTATTAAGGTTCTTAATGTTTGAAATGAACAAAAGATCAGCATACTGATCATGAGCTGTGTCCCTGTGAGACACAGGGAGTGTGTTGGCCATTTGGGTGGGAGGCGAAGCTGGCGTTGATGTGGGTCAAAAGTGGCGGGCATGTTGGTGACCTTTGAGCCCGCCTCGGAAGTAGGGTCAGGTATGTAGCGTGTGAAAGCTTCGTTATTCGTAGTGAAGCCAAAGTGGGGAAGGGATGTGTCCTTGCAGTGATTTGTATAAAGTTACTCAAAATAATGTTTAGAATTTATAGTGATTAGGAAATACTCATGAAATTATGAATAGGGCACACTCTAACATACACCCCAGTTGGTTTTTACACACACAGTTTGGGAACCCCCTGCTGTCTTCCTGATCCCTGCCCTCACCATGGGGAGAGGTGGGTTTCCTTTGGACCACGGAGGCTACCAGGGTCTTTTTCAATAGTCACCCGTGGAATTCAGCTGCCTTTCAGAGAGTCTGCCAGGCAAAAGGAAAAGCCTTTCCTCCTTTGCTTATTCTGGGGTGAACCTTTTGGGGGGTTACCTAATAAAAACTAAATCTGGGAGTTACGTTGTCACTTGGTTTCAGTTTTCCTCCCTGGACTGACTTTATCTTTTTCTTAGATACAAAAACAGGACACAGGAAAGAAATCTCAAAAGAAGAGTCCTGGTCCCAACACACCTCGAGGGAAAAAGAGAAAGGCTGTCCCTGCTTCGGACACCCCAAAAGCTGAAGAGCCCAAAACTCCGGGTAAAGGTCCAGGGAAGAAGCCAAGAATTAAGGAAGAAGCAGGGAAAGAAAGAAATCTTCCAATGGGGAAAAAAGACCCAAGACAGACTCCCAAAAAGCCAGAGGCCAAATTCTTCACTACTCCTAATAAATCTGCCAAAAAAGCCCAAACCCCCAAACAATCTACCAAAAAGCCCAAAGTGCCGCAGTCGGCCTGAAATCAGTGACTCCGCCAGGAGGAAGCCGCGTAAGAGCTACCTGAGGAGCTTTTAGGATTACCCAAGTCTTGACCCCCTTGCAGCCCCCTCTGCGTGAGACCTGGACTTGAGCCTATTTTCAAACCTAACAAGTCATTCTGGTGTGTGTTCCTGAGTATGAGAAGCAGTAGTTTGAAGTAAATCCATTTTTTAATTGCTCTTCTGTGTATTTAATATAATAGAGGGGAAATACACAGTGTTTCTCTGTGGTTGTACTTATTATTAAAATAGAACATTTACTATTGAGTATACCTTTGGCATTTCATATTGGCTTTACTTGAATGTCAATGATGTGACTTCATCTTTTCTGATTTTTTTAAATTGAGGTATGATTGACAGTCATTTCAGGTGTACAACATAATGATTCACTGTATATAATGCAAGACAGTTACCACAGTGAGTGTAGTTAACATCTGTCACCGTATGTGGTTACAAAAATAATGTTAACCATTTATTTGCACAGGGTTCATTACTCTGGGTTGTACAGACATCCCCACAGCTTGTCAGTGCGCCATCACAGGCTCCCTGCACCAGCAGCAGAGTGGGCTTAAGGGCGCTTTGGTGATTGTCAAGAATGACTATCACTGGGTTCAGACTGGGTACTGCATTCCTAGTAAGGGCAGGAAAGGCCGAGGTGAGGCTTGCTTTCCGAGGTCATGTGCATCAGAAACATGGGGAATGACCCTTTGGTCTGCTCACCTGGGAAGAGTTGAGACGGCTTTGCTTTTTAGTGGCACAAATAAAACCATTAACTTTAAATTATGAAGGTCTCTCGTGGTAATTTATAATTGTGTCTCCTTGGACATTTAAAAATAAATACATATTTGAAGTGTTATAAGGGTTTAATTGATGTGTTTTCCACAGGAATTATGTTCTGCAGGAAGGTGGTCCGACTTCCCTTAAAAGGGAAGCTTTAGGTCTCTTGTTTTACAGAGGACAGACAACCATGTAGTCATTCTCTACTTGACAACTCTCAGGGCCTGGACATGGGGTTTTCTAATCCTAATCTTGCCAAATAAAGATTTTGCAGTGCCACCATGTGACTGACCTGTCCTTAAGCCCCTGCTGAATGGTGCAGGGGTGTGGCTGGTGGGTGGGTGGGTGGAGACAGTACAGGGTTTCTGGGTCCAGCCTCCAGCCCCTGGAGATTTCATGAACAAAACCCAGATCTGGCAGGATAAACTCAAATGCAGCATTTGTGTTTTGAAGAAATACTGGAATTTCAGTGTCTATACAACTGCTATGAGCATGAAAATTATAATATTTTTTTAAGTACCTTGAATATATTTAAGATAGTACCTATGATCTTAAGCTAGTAAACTTTTTACTAAAGATCATGCTGTATGATGCTAAGTCATTGTCTCAAAGCCCCTTTTACTTTTTTTAAAGATTTATTTATGCATATAAGAGCTGGGGTACAGGCCAGAGGTGTGGGGGATGAGAGGATTCACCAGAGACAGAGTGGGGAACAGAACAGATGGATTGACTGAAATACACTGCTGAGGGGAGCAGCGGGCAAGACAGGAGAGGTCTGCTGTGCCGTGTGTGTAGCTCCCTGGCCGGGGGTCAAACTCATGCTGCAGTCGCTGCGGATCGCTTCATAGGTTGTGTCTTAAACCCTTGTGCCACCAGGGAGGCCCCCCTTTTACAATCAAATTTAAGGATGTTAAGAGCAAAGAAGTCTTATGCCATTTAATGAAATATTTGAAGGTTCTGCACCGCTTATTTAGCTTTAAATTGCTATTTCTTCTGCCTACACTTAATGTTATTCACAACACCAAGAGTCCTTGACGGACTTCATGAACCATCAGAAGTCCCCTGTCCCTGCTTGGATCTTAAATTAGTGCCACATAAAGAATCACAAAATATTGGATCCAGTGATCATTGTATAATGGTCCTTGAGAGAAAATGGTAAAAGAGGTATTTATATTTCAGAGGTTCTGTGTCTTAGTCCTGCACTATCTTCAATGGATTAACACTTGCTTTTATATCTCAAGAGAATTTAATCAAAGTTACAGAAAAAAATCAAGTCCTTAAAAGATGTCTCAGCCTTCTAAAAGACAATGATTGACAGTCCCAAAAATTGTGTGGAACTCAGCCATTCACCCACCAGCTTTCATTTCATCCATTCAGACATCCATATATCCTCACATCCTGTGGCCATTAAGTTCCTATAAACTTTCAAGTGTAGGTCTAAGCTTGGAGAACAAATGCATAAAACATTGAGAGCTTTGAACTTGAACTCATCCTCAGAATGTTAGTAGAGGGGGCAGTAGTTTGTAATGAGATGGGTCTGCGGGTTAGGGAACTTTTTTTTTTTTTTTTTTTTTTTTTATGCATACAAGAGCTAGGTTGTAGGCCAGAGATGGGGTGGGGGTGGGGGTGGTGAGAGGATTCCCCAGAGGCAGAGTGGGGAGCAGAACAGGCAGATCTACTGAAATCCACTCCTGAGGGGAGCAGCGGGGAGACAGGAGAGGTCTGCTGTGCCATGTGAGTCACCTCCACCATGTGAGTCACCTCCGGGGATTGAAATTCGTGCCGCAGAGGCTGCTAATATCTTCATAGTGCTGACACTTAACCTTTTGCGCCACCAGGGAGGCTCATGATTGCGCATTTTGAATATAGGCAGTCTGCTACCTTACTAGACCTCTGTGAAGCTGTGAAGTAGTAAATGATTTCAAGCAGAGTTTCTTGGTCTTTGCTGGTATTCAGAAGCGCCTGAGTGCAGAGGAATGTGCACCCCCACGGCCTGCCTCAGGAAGCAGGTGACAGGCTCCCAGGAATGCTCACCCTGTGAAGCGAATGGGGGCTGAGAAGGTGCCTCCCCTATCTGGACCAAACTGTGAGAAGTGGCCAGATGAAACCACCATCAGCAGCTGGGGAAAAGAGTGCTGGCCAGGCCATCACACAGGTATATGAGGGATAACTACCTGGTAACAGTTTGCAACAGCCTCTCCTGTAAAGCGTTTCCCCAGCCTGTCCCCATCTTACATTGTTGGCTTAATTGGGAGAAAATGCAGCTGATGGGTGGGAATCCACATTATTGCAATGACCCAATCAAGATCCAATTTCCTGTTAAAAGAACACAGCTGGGTTTGGGGCTTCACCTTGAAGGATGTTGGCTGTTTCTGCTCTGAAAGAGCTGCATTTCTCCCAGGTAAGAGGAGACGGGGTATATGTGTGTGGGGATGGGTAAGTAGCCACGTGTTAAGTCTTTTTTTTATTATTATTGGGTGAGGTCAGGGATGTCCATTTGGATTTAGTGACCCCTGCAGTTCCTCAACTGTGGCTTTTGTCAAGCCCTTTGCTTTTTTTTTTTTTTAATTGTACTTGTCTAGTTAATGTTCTTTTTAAAACTTGTTAAAAGATTTATTTATTTTTGCACAGAAGAACTGGGATGCAGGCCAGAGGTGCGGGGGCTGAGAGATTTACCAGAGACAGAGTGGGGAACAGAACAGGCAGACTGACTGAAATACACTGCTGAGGGGAGCAGCAGGTGAGACAGGAGAGGTCTGCTGCACCATGTGGGATCCCTGGCCAGGGATCCAACTCAGGTCACAGCTGTGATAGCACTGAGACCTAACACTTAGGCCACCAGGGAGGCCCAAGCGGGTCTGGGAATGAGACAGGGCAAGCTAGGGTTATTAGGCAGTTTTAGGGATAGTGCAGGAGGGGACCTCTGAAAAATTTAGGGAGGCTTCGGAGATAAGGACAAGCAAGGGAAAGTAACCCATACCATTAGGAAAAACAAACATGCCAGGACCAAGGACAACATTGTTAACGCTGGTCCTGGTTTCCTTCAGGTGGTAAAGGGAGGCGGAGATTGGAGAAATGGAGAGTGGTTTAATTTATGGTCACATTAGAAGGGCAGCTGTTTAACTTCATCCAGAAGACTGGGCCATAAATTTAAAGATGCAACAAATGGGGAAAGAGAAAGCTGTTAGATAAGGAACGTGAAGATCCCCACTCAGTAGCAAATTGAGTGAGACAGCCGAGAACTGACCAATCACAAAGAGACTGGGGCAGCTTTAGAATAACGAGGGGAAAAAAGGTATATATTCCCTAAGACACGACTCTACTTGGGCTTCCTTGCCCCTCCCAGGCCTGGTTCCCTGGCCTGGGAGTCCCACTTTATTTCTGCTCTTTTCCTCCTCAATAAACTTTTTCTTCTAAACAAACCTGACCCGCCTCTTCTTGCTTGCTTGCCTGAGCGTCCGCGAAGTTCCTGCTGCGGCTTCGTGAGACACCAACCCGTGGGGGTCTAGTGGCCGGGGCTCAGTGCTGCCCTGCAGCCTGGGATCCGTTCCTGGCTGAGAGATTAGGCCTGACAATTCCGGTATCAGGAAGAAGGAACTTTTCCCCAGAGGGCAGAGCATTGAGTTCAAGAAGATTATTTTCCAGCCTTAGGATTTAATGTAACTTACTTTGTAGAGTTTGGGACTTAGTTGAGAACTGTCTTCCCCTTTCTTCTCTCTATTTCTCCCTTTGGAATGAGGACATCTGCCCTCTGCCTGTCCCACCATTGTGTTTTGGAAGCACCTAGCTTGTGAGCCTCCCTGGTGGTGCAAAAGGTTAAGTGTCAGCACAATGAAGCTATTAGCAGCCTCTTGCGGCAGGAATTCATAGCTTGAGGGAAATCTTTGCTCCAACCTTCCCAGTATCTGATTTAGATATTTAGATAAGACTTTGGACTTTAGACTTTAAGTTGATGAAGACAAGTTAGGACATCTGAGGAGGTTAGGATGAATAAATGGAATTTGCATGCTAGACGGACATGAATTTTGGGGAAGAACCCATGGTCTGAATATTCCTCCATTCATATGTTAAATCCCAACTCCCAAAATGATGGTATTCACATACTGAATTCTAACCCTCAATGTGGCAGTTAGGAGGCGGGGCCTTGGGGAGGTGTTAGGTCCTGTGGGTAGAGCCCTCACAAACGAGATTAGGGCCTTTATACAACACACTCCAGATTGCTCCCTGGGTGAGGACTCAGTGACAATTCTCCCTGGGTCATGCTGGCACCCTCCTACTCTTGGACTTCCAGAATTGTGAGCAATCAAATTTCTGTTGTTTCTAAGTTGGAACTGTGGTATTTTGCTATAGCAGCCAACAGACTAAGACATTATTAGAAATTTAAGGAAAGTTTTAAGAACTGCACCTCCAATCACAGAAAGTGTATACTTTTGTCCTTTGTTTTCTTTGCTCTTTTGTTTAAGTGCATATTTTCAGAGAACTAGTACTTCTACAATGAGAAGAGTTTCAGCATCAATTCTCTTAGTTTTCACAGGCAAAAACAAAAGAAACCAAGTTCTCCCAACTTGTAAGGGGATGAAAGGAGTCACATTGTAGTTGCTGGTCTTAGAAATCTGTGTAGGTTGCAAGCAAACACCACATAGTTCTTTTTTTTTTTTTTAAGATTTATTTATTTTTATACAAGAATTGGGGTACAGGCCAGAGATGCGGGGGGGAAGAAGATTCACCAAAGAGAGCGGGGAACAGAGCAGGCAGATTGACCAAAGCACACTGCTGAAGGGAGCAGCGGGCAAGACAGGAGAGGTCTGTCCTGACATGTGGGTTTCTCCCTGGCTGGCCGGGAATTGAACTCGTGCTGCAGTGGCTGCGGATTGCCTCATAGGTTCCGTCTTAACCCCTGCGCCACCAGGGAGGCCCACATAGGGTTCTTTTACCAAATTATTTTCATTAGCTCCCAACTCCATCAATTCCTCCAGCTTGTTTTATTTTTTGCTAACAACAGACTTTTATTTACAAAACTATTTGTAACTTGGGCCTCCCTGGTGGCTAAGTTAAGTCTCAGCGCCACCACCTCTCGATCCCTGGCCAGGGAGCTGACCCACATGGCGCAACAGACCTCTTCTATCTCCCCAGTGCTCCTCTCAAGCAGTGTATTTCAGACAGTCTGCCTGTTCTGCTCCCCACTCTATCTCTGGTGAATCCTCTCACCCCCCACACCTCTGGCCTATACCCCAGTTCTTGTCTGCGTAAATAAATAAATCTTTAAAAATTAAAAAAAAAAAAA